ACAGTTGTTTTATTTAATTCTTGGAAAATAAATAGTCAACCTAAATAAATCAACTTCTTTTTTTTCTTTTTTTCTGATTTTCATCTTTCCAACTGTTTCATTTCTGAGTTTTCTCTCCTTCTTCATGGTTGTTCTGTTTCTATAGAGCTGCAGGACTTTATATTGTTTTGAAAAATGAGGAAAAACTGTGACAGGAGCAAATAAAAAGACCCAGAAAGCACTCACAAGTCAGAGGTTTAAACCTGGCTAGATTCTCATCCAGGTTGTTGTCATCTTCAGAAGTCTTATAAAAAGTAACTGGACTTTTTCCTCTTTTAAGCTCTTGAACTAGTTTAACCTTCATCCTGAGAGGTCCGGCTGCTCTTAGTGAAGGTGAAACATGACGGCGTCCAGGTGAACGTACCTGTCTGAGCTCGGTCCTCCTCTCCTCCCACTGCTCCCTCTGCTCCTCCAGCTGGGCCGGCCGGCAGAACAACCTGGGACCCTCTAGTGGAGGAAACATCGCTCATTAAAAGACTGATCCACTTTTAGAACACAGAACAGTGCTGAGACAACATAACTACAATCATAAATCAGAAGGTTTAACCTGCTGCTGGACAACAGTTAACCATCTCAACTGTGGATTTCTGCAAATATTTATTCAACAAAAACAAAATAAAATAAAAAAAACCCAGAAAACAAGTCCAGTTTTCTTCCAACTAGTGTTACCAATATTAAAAAAAAACCCAAAAAACTCCTCATACTGCAGATATTTAACTATTCCCATGTTTCCAGCCTCTACAAACCAGCTGTAGAAAGATGTTTCACCATGCTGAGCCATGCTGAATTTATTCTATTGATCCAGTTTGGTTTTATTTTCCTCTCTCGTCGTCTCACTGCTCTGTGGAAAGACTGCCTGCAGTTCAACCTAGAAAACTCTAAGAATTTTTGTTCCACGACTGCTGGTCACAGCCAAGTCACTGATGGCTTCATGGCTGCACAGAGGAGCGCAGAATTTTTAGCATTTTACAGAATCTGATTGGAGCAAACGGTTTATTTTTGGCTAATTTTTAAACGAGGCATGTAGAATAAAGCGATTTTGGACTTGGTTCATTTTTCTTGAGGAACGACATGTGACAGATGAGTAGTTCAAAGACTGTCGGAAAGTTTTAAAAGATGACAATGGCTCTGATTTTCTATAAAGACAACACACCTTTTAAACCTGAAGGCCAGCTTTGGAGTTTTCAGAGACTTAAAATAAAAGTTTAAACATTTTGAACCACAGAGTGCTCAGGTCACTAAAGAAACTCAGAGAAAAGTAGAAATTAAATACCTGTTAGTCTGCTGTCATTGGGGTGGAAGAAGAATAAATCCGTCTTTGAAGGCGTCTCCTCTCTGTGAGCAGCGACAAAAAAACAAAAAACACCAGTTCAGATGGATTAAACAGAAAAACTGTGTCTGTTCTTTCTGAAACAATCTCACAGTTCTTCCCTTTTTACGCAGTGATCATTAAACTGTCTAATCGTTCTACCATCAATTTACTATTATTACTGTTTGGCACATTCTATCCCTGAACTATGTTTTAATTTATGCATGTGCTGCTCAACAAAAACACGGATGAGATTAAATCCTTCTCATTAATAACAAATGTCTAAAATGGTCAGAATGTGCTGATTATAAACGACACTAAGCTGAATCCATCTCTAGACTGGTCGAACAAAACAAAGGATTCTGAGGTGACGCTCTGTCACTGTCATTTTTGTAGTTATTTAACAGCCTAAACAATAAATCAAGCTGATGCAGACATGCAGCAGAGTTCAGGGTTTTTATTCTCCAGTTTGCTCACGTTGTGGTTTTAGCGATGGAGCTGCTGTGCTCTTCCTCCTCCTCCTGTTGGTCTTCATCCTCCTCCTCGGAGCTGCTGTCGTCGAGTCGTGGATCTTGTTGCCACGACACCTTTGGAGCCTGAATCAGCTCCACCTTGTATTCTGCTGTTCAGAGACAGAGCGGTTAAAAACAACAAGCTGCCTGAGATGCATCAGAACCCCTGAAACGTGAAGTCGTTTAGGTTTATTTCACAGTAATCAGATTACATCCAAGTTGAATTATTAAACGTTTAGATTCACTGTATTATTATAAATTCAGGCCCCGCAGCAGGAAGTCATGACTGAGATTCTAATCCTTGATTTTTCCACCTTTGCTTCCGATGACAGACTAAATCCTACATGGACGATACCAGAGTCCACTCACATGTTCTGATCATTTTTTGGATTCAAGTCAGGACACAAACTTCTTGTGTAGAAACTCTTGTGTGGTTTTGTTCTCTGGATGGTTCTCCTGCTGGAATGTTCCTCTTCTTCAACCTTCATCTGGTCAGCCAGTGTTCTGGTTTATATCCTCAGACATTCATCTATAAATATCATCAACACCTCTTCATATCATCACTCCCACCTCCTTCTTCACTGTCAGGACGATGCATCCACTGTGATGGTTCTGGTCAGGTTCACACCAAACATCTGGACTCCATCTGAGCCCAACAAGTTTATCTTCATCTGACCAGAGATTGTTCTACCAACATTCATCAGACTTCTCTTCATGTTCAAGTTTGATCTAAAAGGTTTATTCTGAGCAGCAATAAGGGTTTAGTTCTTGTCCTCCATCCACAGAGGTTGATGTTCTGAAGTGTCTGAGCTTCACACTAACTCTGGTTTCCACTGATAACTCCTGGACCAAGTCTGAAGCAGCTGGATCATGAAAGTAGTTCACTGTCTGTGGAGTCATTGTAGGAGGACGACCACTGCAGCCCTGATCAGAGCTACTATGGCTCCTTCTAGACCTCCTGGTTACTGCTCACACTGGGCTTCACTGATGTTTAGTTGATCTTCATGGATCGTTTTCCGTCTTTGTGAAGTCTCTCAGTCAGATTTTTCAGTTCCTCTGTTCAGTTCTTCTCCATGTGGAGCCATGATGCAGACATAGACACAGCTCATAGGTCCACAACTGAGAAAGTTCTGCTGTTCACAGCTCATTTTAGAACCATGTTCATGTAGTTAGTCTGACTGGATTCACAGCTGGACTCAGTTTAGTCTCAGATGACTGATCATGGATTCACTTTGTACTTTGGGGCCTAAATTTTCAACACAGTCGTTCTAAAGCTCTTCCCATTTATAGTTAGATTCTTATTTGTCCTCTTTTTTTTGTAATTTTTTCATTCTTAGGTTAACTTCTTAATGTTTTGTCCTCTTTTCCTACATCTGTACTGCTACAAGTGAGTTTCCCCATCTGTGGTGATGAATAAAGTACAATCTAATCTAACCTAAAGTATGCTCTACTGTAACTCTGAAGTAATCTGATTACTCTCCGGTCATACTGTTCTCACTTCTTCTGACCCACCTGTCTCTGCTGTCGGCGTCTCTGTGTCGTCTCCGAAGAAGGAGAATTTAAATCCAGATGAATCTTGTTTCTCTGCGTTGGGATCAGCTGAGATCAGCGATGACAGCGGAGTGGTCTCTTCTTGGTTCTGCTCCTCCTCCTCCTCCTCCTCCTCCTCCTCTTCCTCCTCCTCCTGGTCCCAGTTGGTCGTCTCTTCTCCTTCAGCGCCGCCGTCCTTCGTCTGTCCAAACACGGCCTTCAGGTCTCCAGAGACGTCGTAGTAGATCTCTTTGGAAACCTCCGGGAGCTGCTGAGCCTCCTCCTTCTTCTTCCTCCGGGACGCTTTGCTGTGAAGACAGAACACAGGAGGGTTCTGCTGAGATCAGGACGGAGTTATTCACATTTCAGCGCCAGTAGTGGTCCAGAAACACCACAGAGAGTTTATCCTCTGAGATTATTCAATATCTGCAGCTTCAGACAGCAGCAGGATCCACATGAGAGAGAAGCTGCACACGTTTACACACAACAGCTTCAGTCTGGTGGTTGTTTCGTGTCTCTTTGTGGTTGTTTTGCATCTTTTGTGTCTCTTTATTCTTGTTTGTGACCATTTGTGAGCAGTTTGTGTCTCTTCATGATCATTTTGTAACTCTTTGTAGCCTTTTTGTAACTCTAGTGGTCATTTTGTGTCCCTTTATAGACATTTTTAATCTATTTGTGACCATTTTGTGTCTCCCTATAGTCATTTTGTGTCTTTTTCTGACCATTTTGTGTTTCTTCATGATCATTTTGTGACTCTTTGTAGCCGTTTTGTAACTCTAGTGGTCATTTTGTGTCCCTCTATAGCCATCTTGTCTTTTTGTGACCAGTTTTAGTCTCTTCGTGATCATTTTGTGTTCCTTTATAGTCATTTTGAAGTTATTTGTGATCATTTTGCATCTTTGTGGTCGTTTAGCTTAGTTTAGGAGCCGTTTTGTGTTTCTTTGTTCTTGTTTGTGTCTCTATCTGGTTGTTTTTTTTGTCCCTTTGTCATCGTTTTGTTACTCTTCTGGCCATTTTGTCTGTTTATGGGCATTTTGTGTCTCTTTGAGGTAGTTTGCGTCTCTTCATAGTTGTGTGTGTCTTCATAGTCGTGCTGCTACTCTATTGGTCATTTTTTGTCTCTTTATAGTGCGTTTGCATCGATTTGTGGTCTTCTTGTTTCTCTTTGCAGCCATTTTGTGTCTCTGGTTATTTGTAGTTGTTTTGTGTGACTTTGTAGTTGTGCGGTTTGGCTTTTTGGTCATTTTGTGTGTCTCTATAGTCATTTTGCATCAATTTGTGGCCTTTCTGCGTCTCTTTTTGGTCGTCTTGTGACTGTTTGCAGCCATTTAATGTCTCTTTGTAGTTCTTTTGTGTGTCTTTGTAGTTGTGCTGTTACTCTTGTGGTCATTTTGTGTCTCTTTGTAGTCATTTTGCATGTGTTTGTGGTCGTTTTCTTTCTCTTTGTGGTTGTTTTTGTTTGTTTGTGGTTGTTTATGACTGTAGTTATTTCATGTCTCTTTTTGGTCATTTTGTGACTGTTTGTGGTGGTTTTACATCTTTTTATGGCTGTCTTGTGTATTTTTGTGGTTGATTTGTGTACTACATTCTGCTCTGTGGACATTATTATTATTATTATCTGCTGAGCCTCGGTGCAGAAGCTCCTCCAGTGTTCACGCTCCTACCTTTCCTTCTTGGCTTCGTCAGTTTTGGTCTCGAAGGCAGCGTGCTCCTCTCTGCTGGGGTCGTAGTGAAGCGCCGACACGTCTCTGCAAACACATTTTAACGTCTTTATTTCATCCTGCTGAACATCGTACATCCAGAAACGTCTGATCCAGCCTCTGAGTCCCACCTGAACTTCTTGGCTTTGCCGGCCGTCTTGCTGCTGGAGGTTTGTTCGGTGACGCCGAGGACGCTGTGCAGGATGGACAGGTTCCTCTTCCTCTCCTCCTCCAGAGCTCCATCCTCCTCCACCAGGCTCTTCTTCGTCTCTGAATCACAACCGGTAGATTATTTCACCAGATAGAGAAGCTCACAGGTTTGGCTTCAGTGCAAACGCCAACAAACAGGCTGTACATTTATTCTTTCTTAGTAATTACTAAATTAAAACTCTAGATAAGAACATGTTTTCCTGTGATAAATGTCTGTTTTTCAGACCTTTAGTAAGTTTTTGTTAGTAGAGAAAATGATATGTGGATAAAACCAGCATAGGTTTTGAAAACTATACAAAAAACAAACAAAAAAACCCAACATACTGTAATTTATTATCTCATAAATAAATTTAACTTAAGCTCAGTCCAGACTAACTGACAAACTGTTTCAACCCTCTGAACTCCAAGCAGCAGTTTCTGGGTGTTTTTATTTGCTCCTGTCTCATTTTTCTCTGCAACATAAAGTCCTGCAGCTCCATAGAAACAGAACAACCATGAAGGAGGAGAGAGAACTCAGGAACGTCACAGTTAGAGTGACAGAAATGAGAACATTTCAGTTTGTTCTTGATGTTTTTGAGGTTTTCTAACCTCAATAAATGGTGTAATTCTGGTCATTTTAAAAACATAACATGTCTTTTAATCAGGTGGGGAGTTTTGTGTCTCAGGGGTCTGAAAGCAGATGAATCCTCCTCACCTGAATCCTCGTCCTCGTCCTCCTCCAGGAAGCGAGAGTCCATCCTGAAACGCTCGTCCGTCCCGAAGCGAGACTGCAGCTCCATCAGCTGTACAACAAAAAAGCAAACATTAGAGACCAAATCCAGACTGAGGCTCCTCTGTAAGAATATTATTGTCTTTAAGTATAATTCAGACACTGATGAAAACACTCTGACTGTCTGATGTGCTTCACGTCACAACCAAAGACTCTGAGGAGCTTTTCTGTACTTCCTGTCTTTCACTGCTGCTGAAAACTCAAACCTCGCAGTTTAAGAGACGCTCTGATCCAGTCGTCTGGTCATGATGAGTTATTAAAGGTCAGAAACGTTCTGCTCCCATCTCATTGTTCTTCACTGTGGCTCATTTTTCACTGCAATATGAAGTCCTGCAGCTCTGCAATCGCTGTATTCTACGTGTCGTGGTTAAAAATGTGCCAAAAATAAACTCTTTGCTAGACCGAGATTCTATAAAAAACAAAAAATTCTGCAAATGTCGTGACATCTGTGAAGAGTTTTTGGCTGAACTGGAGGAAGTGTTTCCACAGAGCAGAGAGGAGATAAGTCTGGAAACTAATTTAAAATGCAAATAGTTTTTTTCATTTTTTTCTTGGAGCAAACGGGAGCAAAAAACAAAACAAAAAACATCCCGAAGCTTTTTCATAACTTCCCGACGGCAGCCTGGATGAGAGCGTGGTTGTGTGCAAACTGTGCAACAAAGAGTTTTAAGACAAAAGCCTAGAAATGTTGAATATAATCACTATAGTTTGAGTTCGCACAAATCTGTGAATGTAGCAGGCAGGTGGAAAATACAGATAAATGCAGATGAAAAATGAACTTGTTTATGTCTTTTCACTGAGTCACCAACATTTATTCAAATTGAAAAACTTTGCTTATTGTGTCAAACATTGCTTTTAAATCACGATTAATTAATAATGGGTGTTTTTAATTAGCCTCTAATTAACCAGGTTATTTCTTTAATCGTGTCCCAACACTACAAACAAAATATCAACACGGGAGTTTTTTACACCCTAAGCTCAGCATGGGCCTGAATGATTAACCGTGAACTCGTTCTCTCACCTTCTGTCCGGCTCGACCTTCAAACTGAGGCCTGATGTCAAACCGGCGCTCGTCCTCCTCTTCGTCACCTTCGTCCTCCTCGTCCTCGCTGCCTCCGAACAGCCGATGACCCGACGGCTTCCCCTGAGACACAAAAACATCGTTACCGGTTTGATCTCTGGGAGGAAACTGTAGCGCCGGTCCGTCTTCGCTAACCTTCTCCTGATTGGCCGCTGCTGCCTCGTCCTCGTCCTCTGATTGGCCGTCCTGGAACAGACTCTTCCTGGATGCTGTGAGCTCTGAGACGCTCTGCTGCTGCTTCTCCTCTTCATCCCCATCCTCATCATCAGAGCCAAAGACGATGTGTTTCCCTCCTGCTGCTGCTGCCGGAGCGTCCTGATGAACATCAACAGCTTCATGATTAAAACTGAACAAATAATTTGCATGAATTCTGAAATTTTCGTCGATTTTCACTCACAAAAAAAAACCCAGGTAGACATTTTAAAGCTTCAATATCTGCAGAAGTTAACCTCCCACAGCCGTGACATAAGCTGAGGACTCAGACAGAGCAGTTTCCAGAAGATCTAAATGATTAAATGGCTCCAGAAGAGGACAAGTTTAGAATTATTGGCTCTGGAAAATGGAAAAAGTGCAACCTTCTTTAATAGAAGGTGTTGGAGGTGGAGGAAGTTCCTGTAAGTGTTTATATACGAGTTTATTAATGCTTCCTACTAAAAACGTTTGAGGCTCTAACTTCAGCAGAACCTGATGTGTGGGAAGAGACGGTTCCAGATTTTAGATGTTTTGACAAACTGACGACGTGGACTCACTGATAGGAAACACAAAGTGTTGTCGTCACACATCAGGTTCTACTGAAGCTTCTCGTCTCCATCAGCAGCAGTTTGAGTCCAATGAGTTCGAATGTCAGATTTACTTCATGACTTTAACACATTTAAAGTCATTTTGGTTCAAGCTAGAAAGGCTTTTTACCATTTTAGGAAATTTCGAGTCAATTTAAAGAAGCTTAAAATCCTTTTGGAGAAATCTGGAGTTAATTTGAATAACTTTTGAACATTTTGGACAAATTTGAGTTTCTTTGGACAAGTTAGAGTCATTTGGGACGAATTTAAAGTCGTTTTGGTTCAAGTCAGAAAGTCTTTTATTGTCTGAGTCAATTTAAAGAAGCTTAAAATAATTTTACAGAAATTTGGCATCAATTTGGAGAAGCTTCAAGATATTTTGGGTCGTGTTAGAAAAGGGTTTTGTTACTTTGGACAAGTTTTGAATCATTTTGGACAAATTTAAACTCCCATTGAACAAATTTAAGTCATGTATAAAGGCCTTTTCCATTTCTGACAACTTTAGAGACATTGTGGACAAATTAAGAGTCAGTTTGGTCAAGTTTCAAGATAATCTGGACAAGTTTTGAGTCATTTTGGGCAAGTTTTGAGTCATTTGGGACAGATTGAAAGTCATTTTGGTTCAGGTTTTTAAGGCTTTTACCATTTTTGAGTCATTTTAAAGAAGTTTAAAATAATTGTGCAGACATTTGGAGTTAATTTGGACAACTTTTTAAACAACTGTAAGACATTTTGGGAAAGTTTTAAAATAATTTTGGGTCGTGTTAGTCAGTTTGGTGAAGTTTCAAGACAATCAGGACACGTTTGGAGTCCTTTTGACAAGTTTTGGGTCATTTCGTGTCATGTTGGAAAAGTTTGAGTCATTTTGGACTCATTTTGAGACACATTACAAACAATTTTGTCATTTTGGACGAGTTTTAGGACATCTTGGACAATTTTAAAGTAATTTTGGGTCATATTAGAAAATGTAAAATCATTTCAGACAGATTTCGTGTTTTTGTAATTTTGTGAAATTTTCAGAAGATTTTAGACAATTTTAAGTACGTTCAGACACATTTCAGACTTTTTCTCTGTGATCACTCCATCGTCTTTCTCTTCCAGACGTTTAGTGTCTGTGAACCCACCAGGTTGGACAGAGCGCCCTGGATCAGCTTCTTGTGTTCTTCAGCTTCCTTCTGTTTCTGCTGGACGGCAGCCAATCGCCTCAGGTTGGCCTTCCTCTGACGCTCCTCTTCCTCCTCGGCTGCCAACACCACCCGGACAGGACGATGCTCTTCCTCCTTCTCATGCTCCTCCTCCTCCTCCTCATCATCATCATCGCTGCTGGATGAAGAGTCCGTCTCGGCTTTCTCTGGAGGAGACGTTTCTAAAACTTTAGGAGCAGTTATGATCTTTGATAAACCCTCTTTATCCTCTCCTTCATCCTCCTCCTCCTCCTCCTCTTCTTCGTCTTCGTCTTCATCATCATCAGTGCTAGATGAAGTTCCAGCGTTCTCAGGGTTTACAGGAGCTTTACTTGAAGACATTTTCAAAACCTTTGGAACCGTTGTGTTCTTCACTACCTCTTCTTCTTCTAATTGAACAGCTTTGTCTTCTTCATCCTCCTCCTCATCATCACTGCTAGATGAAGAGCCAGTTGCACCAATCTCAGGTTTTACAGGAGTTTTACTTGAAGACATTTTTAATGCTTTAGGCTCAGGTATGTCCTCCTCATCCTCCTCATCCTCCTCTTCTTCTTCCTCGCTGGTTTTGCCGTCTGCTTCTCTGTGGTTCATCTGAGCAGCTCCAGAGTTCAGTTTCTCCTCTTTAACCTCGTCTTCGTCTCCTTTCTGTCTCTTCTCGTCTGATTCCTCGTTCAGCTCCTTCGTTCCCAGGAAAGCCGGCAGCAGCGTCGACGTGACTCCTTTCCTTTTCTTCTTCTTCTTCTTTTTGTCGCGTTCGTCGTCGCTGCTGTCGTCCTGCATGATGGCGGCGAGGATCTCCTCTGGCGTTGTTCCCTTCTTGGGGGGTCGGGCGCTGGTCTCCCGCTCGGCGCTGAGGATTCTGGGAGGTGGAGTCTCGCAGGTCTGCTCGGCGTCTTCGGCCAGTTTCTGCAGATCAGCCAGGGAGATCTCGAGGTGGGTGACGTTGGAAAACATGGCTTCATAATCAGAGTCTGAACACGAACCTGCTGGTTCTGACTCCTCGTCTTCATCCTCGTCTTCATCCTCCTCCTCATCGCTGTCCGACTCTGGGAGGCGGAGCTTCGTCACAGGTACGACCGACGGTTTCTGTTTCTGTTTAGCAGAGTTTCCTCTCTGCTGTTTGGAGGTGAGACGTTCTTCATCATCTGTTGAGCTGTCCTCCTCTTCCTCTCCAGCTTTACTTGTCTTCTTCCTCTTTCTGTCGGTGCCGTTTCCCGTGGTGGGTTGAGGAGGCTTGTCCTGAGGCTGAGGAGGTTTTCTGGATGCAAAGATTTCGTCTGTATCTGCGGAATCGTAGTCGTCGTCGTCTTTGTCACCTGAAATCACAAAGAAAAAGTTCATCACGTTTTTTCCTGGTCACACAATGAGAGTCACTCTCATTTATTTTTAATTAGTTAATAAAAGATTTCTTGTAATACTTGAGGAAAAGTTTTTTTTCTTTATTCACTCTATTGTATTCTTTCACCTGCCGTTACCTTTGTGTCCAGACTTCACCAGGTAGTCGTGTCCGACCACCTCCAGAATGTCCTCCGCCCCCTGCTGCAGTGCATCATGGGAGGTTTGCTGAGTCGCCACCATCCTGCGGATCTCCTCGTCCGAGTCGATGTCGCTGTCGCGTGTCCACGTCCTCTGAGCCGGTCGACGGCCGGTCGGCGTTTGGAAACCGTTGGTGAGCTGATGAGCTTCAGTGCGATGAACAGAGTTAACGGGCGGCTCTGATCTGAGAGGAGACGGACGGACAACATTCAGAATCTGTTCATCCTCAGACAGTAGAGTGACTCTTTAGACAAACACAGAAACCATCAGAGGCTTAAAGCTTAGCAATAACAGAATCCTGAAGAATCAGACCTCAGACGGGTTCTTCCTGCTGCATCGTGGGAGTCGACCACGTCCGCCCGGCTCTTCTTGCGTCGTGGTGGCTCGTACGGCGGGAACTCACCCCGCCTCTTCTTGCTGATGTCGTCGTCTCCTCCCTGCACCTGCCAGGTGAGCTGGGCCACCGGTGTGGACCCGTCTACGTCCTGGCGGTCCAGCCGGCGGATGTTGTGGCAGTACTTGGATGGATCGTACTTCAGGGTTCGAGCTCTGCTGCCCTTCTGACACCGGAGCTGCAAGACGGGCAGAACTCGGCCGAACTTGCTGACCACCCAGTCCTGAAGACGGAACAGAGACGACCGTCAGCACCTCCAGCTTCACTCAGGACCAAACACTCAAAAAAGAAGCGACTCTACTATTGTGTGACAAAAATTCAGAGTTTTCAGCTGAACTGCAGGAAGTTGTTTCCACAGAGCAGACAGGAGACAGAAGTGGAAACTAATAAAAGCACACAGTCTGACTGGACCTTGTGTCCTGGTATTTCCGTCCCCGGTACTGCAGCCTTCATGTTGAACTTGTCCACGCCGGCTTTGCTCAGCGAGTCCAGCAGCTTCTGTTTCTGGTCGTCGGCTGCTGGCTGCTGGAGAAGCTGCTCTGCTGCTGCCTGACGCTCCTCAGCCAGTCTGAGACACAAACACAACACAGCTCATCGTTCTGTACGTCAGCGCTGAGATTCAGGTTCTGGAGCTGATGGGAACCTGAAATTCTCACATTTTAACCCAAACACTGAGTCGCATCCACCTTTAGGCGTTTCTTTTGACAGAACTGCTCAAGTTTTTATTCTGAGGCTGCAAACTTAGTTAAACTCAGACGAACTGACTCGTGTTGTTTCTGTGTTAACGTCCTCACGGTGCTGTGATCACGGCTGTACCTGTGCAGGAAACTCTCCTTGGCTGTTTCAATTTGCAGAGTTCCTCCTTTCCATTTGGACTTGTTCAGCACCGTCAGACCTGCAGAGGAAACACGATACAACAGTTAGCAGCCAGAAACTGTATGAACAGAAAGAAAAAAGCTGAACGTTGATATGTAGATGTGTATATGTGTATGTGTGCAGGACATGCAGCAGCAGATCAGCTCACTTACATTTCTTCAGGTCGGCGTCCGAGATGTTGATGTTGATGTAGCCGAAGGTTTTATACGGAACTCCTGCAGGAGAAAAGCACAAAGGAATCAGAACACCTGAAGGAAACACAGCAGCTGATCTCTGTTCACTAACTTATTCAAATTAAACTTATAAAAATGTCACTGCTTAGTAAGTAAATATCAGAAATGAAGACGCCTGTGAATGCAACGACTTTTAAAGCACTCTCGTCTAGTCGTGACTGTTGACTGTGATGGATGTTCTCCTGCAGCTCTGAGCCTCAACACCACATGAAACAATGCATTAAATAATCAGAACGTAAACACTGAAGCGTCCTGGCTGTCGGTTCGATTCCTCACCCTGGTCGTCCTTCCTGGTTCGCAGCTCCACGTCCTCCACGTCTCCAAACTTTCCAAATCGATCCTTCAGGTCCTTCTGAGTGACCGTGTGGCTCAAACCGCCGACGTACAGCCGCCGCATCGCTGCGTATCCACGACGATGTCGTTACTGTGGAGACAACAAGCACAGGTGAAGAACATCAGTGTGTTTATGTGCATTTACACTTCAGCAGTCCATCAGAGATTCAGTAGCTGCTTGTGATTCATCTGTAACTAGCTGATCAAACAGAATTTTTAAACTGTATTTCGACTGCTGGCTGATAGACTCTGATGATGATCAAGACTCATCAGGTCATACATTTATATATTTATATATATTTATAGAACACACACATTTCTGGAAACAAACAGATTAGTCTTCAAACACACAGACAGTTTGGTCTGGAGCGGCACGATATTAGAAAAACTGACATACTGTGATATTTTGCTTTTCTGTGACATGATTAATATTCTTTTCACTGTGCAGCTCTACAACTGGTTTCTTTCTGCAGTCAAATCTTCCTTTTCAGAGTTTCTTTTCTGTTGATGTTGCTGTGAACATGTGGAACCTGCAGCTAAACAAAGTCTGTATTTTAAAATAAAATGAATAAAAAAAAAAACAAACTCTTCGCTCTTCTGAGATGCGTCACTTGTGACAAGTTGTACAGCAAAATTTATTTGTATTCTGTTTTGATTCAACTCTGTAGTCACTTTGGATGCTGTAGATTTCTGCTAAACTATATCATATTATACAGATATTATATCAAGTGTATTTATATAAATGACAATGCAGCAGCACCAACTACAGCCTCCATAGTGACCACATGGTTGGATCAACATCTCTTGAAAACAGAGTCAGAACCTCAGAACCTGATCAGATTAGTTGGTATCTGATCTGAGCTGTATGTGTGGACTCAGCAAACCGAACAGAAATAAACGAGGAAAGCAAATCTCATGATGTTATTTTATAGAAGCCAAAATCCCCGCATGAACGGACCACTAAGAGGAAAAAAATACTTTTAATTTTAGTAAATGATGTGTTAATTCAAGTTTTATTAAACTTAAACGTCTACATCAGTTCCGCCTGAAGCTCCTCACGTGTAAAACAGAAACACACAGAATCCGAATGAACTCAGATGTCAACAGAAATCTACGTATAACTGATCGATCTGCTACTATCAATAAATAACCGGTGGAATTCACACGGGGAGGAAAAAATTCACAGATGTTTACCTCACATGTATCCAGCTGGTGTCACCGGGATCTCCGTCCGGGTCCGGCGGCAGTCCGTCTCATTTCCCTTCCGCTCTTGTTTCCGCAGAATGGAAACGTTCCCAGGTGGTTTGATTTAAATTGGTGTCAACAAAAAGCTTCAGAAAAACTCAAGTAAGATTAACCGTGTACGTTAATTTAGCTATGAAACATTTTAGGATAATAAATACGTTATAAACGTTTTAGCTTGATTAGCTAGTCATCGCTACATTAGCGAAAGCTGCTACTTCCTTCGACTGCCTTCGCGAAGGGGGGTGTCACTGATTGGGCTTCAGTTAACTTTTAAAGAAATGCTTATTTTTTAACAAAAAGTTTTTTACAAGGTGCTTTAAAACTACATTTATATTGAAATTTGCTGTGTTTGTGTGTACAGAGGGACATTTTCAGTTGGAATCACCTTCACAGAATTAGTTGTCCCCCCCTCCGACTCCTGAAAAGTGGTAGAGTCCAGAGGCGGGAGGCTCCGAACTGTTTTTGGTTAAACGGACATTAAAAAGGTTCAAGAAACGTTTATTTTATCGGCAAAAAACACGCCTTTAAATCTATGAACTCTTGATTATAAAGCAACGTTGGTTCAAATAAGTTGACATTATAACGATAACGAACACGGTAAGTCAACTTTTCACGTCAGTTTACCGACTTGTTTTGCTAGTTCTAGTTAGTTTGTTTTTAGCTTGTTGGTTGTTAATGTTGTAAATAAAATGAAGCGAAGTTTGACAGCGACTTTATTTAATAATTTAGACAGTTAGCGACTCTTTAAGTGCATTTTTACTTAAAACAGTGGGAGAAAACGGTATAAATCCAATGCTGGATGATTCCATGTTCATTTTTTACTGTCAGAAAGTCAGTTTCTCGTCACGTTTCTTCAGGTTTTGTCGTTTTTTCTTTTTCTCACAGTTCATCATTAAAGCAGCATTTTAGTGTTAAAGCTCCTAATATGGTGAAAATCCAGTTGTCTTGTGTTTAGTTTGTCTTAACAACTTGGAGTGACGAAAAAAGGAAGAAGCTGTGGCTTACTAACATCCAGTCAGCCTCCCAGTTTTACTGCCAGTCAAGAATCTGAGGAAGCAACAGTGTCTACAAGTCTTTACTACAAAGCAGGATTTGAGTTTTATGGAGGTAACTTAAGGTTGAACTCGGTTGAATTCACTTGTTGCCAGGGTCCATCGCCATGGTAACGGATGCTGATGCTGTGTAGCAGGTTGTCTTCCAGATAACAGATCAACATGGAATAGAAAACCTCCTGATGCTGGAGGTTTTAGAGCAATTTCAAAGTCACTTGATTGCTCTATGAGGCCTTTTTGTGCTGAAATTCTAATTCTTTAACAGACTGATGAAGCACTTTTACTTGCTCCTAAAACCGTTTAATACTGCCTGAGTTGCAACTGAAAGATGAAAGATGTTTTACACAGTGTAAGAAAATCACATTGACATGAAATTGCTGAATTTATTCTCCACATCAGCGTAAAAAAAAAAAGTTTTAATACTTTGTTTATTCTTTACATCGTTTGTCTCTTTTTGTGAGCAGCATGAACGAACTACAGCTGTACTTTTGTTATACAATCATGTGTTGGATTAAGATAAATTAGCTGACGTTTGATTAAGAAACCTAGATTGAAGCAATTTGTACAAAATTAAAACATTTTTGCGATCATGTCATACATGAGGCAGCCTAATAACTCACAGTTGTTTTTCTTTTTTAAAGCTTCATGCCTGCGCTGCTTTAGGCCTGTATTGTAGTTTTCAATTCCTCATGATTATAGTTGAGAAATATGCAGCTGTAAACCTGTTCATGTTTGAGCTTCTGGTTCCTGTGGAGTATATGAGAAAAATTATCCACTGTAAAATAGATTTAGATGTGATGTGATGTATCATTACTGAGGGAGCTAACACAGCGTGCAGCCTGAACCGTCTAGTGTATGTTGACCAGTGGGCATCACTACCTACTCCAACTGTCTGCCTGAATTAAAGTATTAAAGAAGATGAGTGTGGAGAACATGGAGGAGGTTGAGGTGCTGGAGGCCCAGATCGAGCTTCTCCAGGCGGAAGTGGAAGCGTTGCAGCGACAGCAGCAGGACAACCAGAAGGACATGACGTTCCAGTTCAGAGGACAAATGCACGACGCTGTGTGAGTTTAATACTTATTCTACATTTTTAAAATCGCTCTCATGTCGGCTTTAACATTCCAGCTGCTTGAAGCTTCCGTGTTAAAATCTTTGTCTCCGCAGGGCGTCTGTATGTGGACTTGGACCAGGAGGAGGGAAGGAGCGAGTTCTGTCCAGGCTGAAGGAGGAGGTGGAGGAGATGGAGGAGGATCTGAGGCAGCAGACGCAGATGAACGGCATCAGTCTGACCAGCTGCACCGCCAAGACTCTGCAAAGCAGTAAGTTGTCTCAATCCACAGCCTTTGCATCGTTCAGACATTTTAAAAATTAAATGATTATTAACCTTCTGAACCCCAAAACCCCCCAGTAGGTTTGAAAGGCTTGTTGCTTTTACAAAAAAAAGTTATGTTATGCCTCCATTTCATTCATATCTGTTCTTCACGCTGTTAGTTGACTCCACTGATCAACGGCTGACAGAGGGCGCTAAAAAATGTCACAATATGTCAACAAAGGCGGAAATAAGAAGAAGACTGCCAGCATGTGTGCATGAATGTAAAGAATGTTTCAAATACCTTCTGAATGTGAGCTTTACCAGGGGTGTATTAAGGAAGAAAATGCATTTGACACATTGAGCTTGAGGTACCACAAAGTGTTTTGGTGCATCGATGCTGCATCTAAACACAGCTTTTGTTTTGTCTGCTAGGTGGCAGGAAGGTGGTGCAGCAGCTCTGTGTGTCCGGCCGCTGCTCTGAACTGGACTTCCAGGTGGAGTTCAAGCTCTCTGAGCTCACGGTGAGCCATTTTATTCTCTCGTTATCTGTTTCTCTTCATTCTTTCTTCTGGATTTCAGAGTTTTCCAGACTGACAAACTGTTCAACTAGTTTGAGTTCTTCTTGTTCTTTTCAATCAGTAAACATCTGTGTCTGTGTCGTCGCTCTCATCTGATATCAGCTTGGCTCTTTCTCATAATATGTGATGTCTGCTGTTCCGTTTTCCCTCTGAGCTCCAAGCAGTTATATGGAGATGTTCTGCTCCATCACAATTTTTTCTAGCTGTGAATTCATTGTTCACCACAAAATAAAGTCCTGTACGTCTGTATAAACAGCACCGGCATCACTAGAGGAAGAAAAAATAGTCAGAAATTCTGTGTAGAATGACTCAAATCATAAAAAAAGAAGTGTTCCTCTCTGCTCAGTGTAAATGCTGCCTGCAGTTCAGCCTGAAAGCCCTTAAATTTTAGCCACGTGTTGATCACAGCTGAGCCAGTGATGACTTCTTGGTTGTGCGAGGAACTCATGATTTTTTAAAATTTTCTCACAATCTGGTTTGAGCAAATAGTTTATTTCTGACGAATGTTTGAATGTGACAAACACATTTAAGTTCTTTGAAAAGCTGCAACCAAATCAGTTTTACATTCATCTAGGTGTCACAATCTAAACACTAAATCTGTTTTTTGTTTATTCGTGTTTTTCTGTGACCAACTGTGAGCATCACTATCATAGTTTCATTAGTTTAATGTCTATGATAGAGTCATAGATACAGTTATTGGTTCCCTCAGTGTGTTTCTGCTTTCTGATAATTCAGAAGAAAACCTAAAAAGTGCATTCTGGGTAAACTTTCCAGGCTCATATCAGCATGTGTGATGATGGTTGGTCAGAACAAGTTCTAGACAATGAAAGGATCACTTTACCTCCAGTAGATACCAGGATCATCTTCTAAAAATGATTCACTCTGTGGAAACTAATATTCTATGAGAGGCAGAGCTTGAATCTGTTTTTCTGCCATAAAAAAAATAATGAAAATCATGTGTCTACCTCCTATACTTATAAAGTTATAATGAAAAAACATTAAAACGTGTAAAAATTGGAGCCATAGCTGCACTTCAAGGGCCTGTAACTCTGAAAATACACATAGAATAAATGTAAAACTTTACATAACTTCAATAAACACACTAAAGTTACTGTAGATAAAAAAATCACCTGGATGCTCCTAAAGGATTAAAGTGTTTGTGGACTGACCAGCAGAGGGCGACAAAGCGCCACGTTCAAAGGTTCCTGTACAGTTTTGGTTAAAGCAGCTTCATCAGCAAACTGTGATAACGTTGAATCATCCGGTCAGATCAGAACAAACAGCAGCATTAAGTCACATCTGTGCTGCTGACAGCTGCAACCATTGAGGTTTGTACGTGATCCTTTTATTGTTTACGCCCAACAAATGTGACAGAAGTTTCCTACAAGTAGAGCAGGAGATCAACCTGGACATCTGAGGAAATGGTGTATCAACTCTGGTGCTGATTTCACGCCTGATTCATTCAGTTTTTCTCTGTGCCTTACTTTGGTACATGACAACATGGTTTTCTGCTTTTCTTTTTGTTAGCTTTCAAGTTATGTTGTCTTTAAAAATCACCAAAACAAACCAAATTACCAGAGCTGGAAACTGTAAAAACATAAAAACGTGTCTTTTGGATGATCCTTGAACTGCTCGTGCCATCTGTGGTTCTTTTGGGGAAAATTAACCAAATCTAACCTTTAACTGGTAATAATTCAGCGAAATTGCTTCATTCTACATGTGTCATTTAAAAATAAACTGCACTAATCGGATTATGTTCAAATGTAATATTCTGAGCTCGTGATGCAACTGAGAAGCCACGACTGAAAAACTGAGACTTTTTGGCTGCAGCTAATTAAAAATGAAAGCAGTTAAATATTTACAGTATGCAGAGCCGCTATTGGTTTTTCCAGTGTTGACAGTTGTAGAAATGTTGGACGTGTTGATCATTAATTGTTTTCTTTCTTCAGATGTTTGTCATTCTGCACCAAAGACATTCCTGAGCTCTCTCTCCTTCTTCATGGTTGGTCTGTTTCCATAGAAGACTTTCTATTACAGTGAAAAATGTGACAGGAACAGAAAAAAAACACCCAAAACTGCTGATTTAAGAGGGTTAGACACAAGCAGCTGACTGTAGTGGGTTCCTAAATGAAATGAAGTCCGTCTAAAGCTGGTGAAATAATGAAAATCAGGTTTTTGAAGATTGTGAATCTGATCAAATATTAACGCAGACCTTCATTTCTGTGGTTTGCTGGATGATGCATTTTGATCTGGACCAGAGAAGGTTCAGCATCAGGTCCAACCTCCAGGCTGGATAGAAGGAGATGCTGACCTGTCAGACTTAACGAGTCCAACTCTGTAGAGGTAAAGTTAACAGTGGACGTAACGTTATCGTGGGAGATTGTGCGTTATTGTGATCCCCCCAGCCCGCCTCATGTCGGTCCAGCAGTCTTCTGGTTTTAATCGAGCCTGGACGGACCTCCAGAGCAGCTGGTTTCGTTGAATCACGCCTTCGGCCTGGCTCACGAAGCACCATTAAAACGTTCTGAACTGGAGTTTTGACTTGTTTTGATTAAGACATGTGCAATTTGGAGCGAGTCACTCTGTAAACACACACTCTCCTCCTTCCCTTTATTACAGTGTGATTATTACTGACTTTTATATTGCAACACAATGCGAGCGAGTACAACTCGTTTTCTGTGTTGTAACCCGTTCAGAGCCAATCTAGAATATGATTTATGTGTTTTTCCTCAAATATGGAACAGCTGTCATTCAGGGAATGTGGTTATCTTTCTGTGTGTTTAGCCTAGCTTAGCATTCGGCCTGGAATCAGCTAGCACGGCTCAACTATGTGGGGAAAATATTGGATTTGTGATGTAGTTTTGTTGGGCCGCAGTTAAATATTGAGCCTGTAAACGATTAAAAACATGTGAAACACGGTTGAAAGTGAGATTCTCTAACATGGAGGATGAGCTTTATTTGGTAAATGACAATTTTACCTCCAAACTCCAAATAGTTTTCTGCTGCTGTCACGTTTTTCCTCACTGTTGGCTTATTTTTTACTGCAATATAAAGTCCTGCAGCTCTATGGAAACAGAACAACATGAAGGAAGGAGAATTTAAAATATCTTACAGAACGAAAAAAAAAAAAGAAAGAAAAGAAACGTTGAATTTCTTTCTTTTTCTTTTTCTTTTTTGAACTGAAAAACGTGGAATCAACACGTCCAACATTTTTGTCCACAGTTGTTTCCAACACTGAAAAAATATGGAGGCTCTACATATTATAGATGTTCAAATATTTGCATTTTAAATGAGTTTTCATGCCCGTCGCCTCTCTGTTCTGTGTGAACGCTGCCTGCAGTTTAGTCAAACAGTCGCTGAGTCACTGGTTGCTCATCTTTTTTATTTTTTACAGATTCCGTTTTGTGCAAACTGTTTAGTTTAAGACAATTATTAAATGAGAAAAATGCAGCATAAAGAGGTTTTTGTTGAAGAATCACACTTTTAAGTTTAGAGTAGATATTGCAAATTTCCCAGACGGAGCAGCATGTGACGGATGATGAGTTCAAAGACTGTTGAAAAGTAGAAATTTTCTGTTTATACAGTTTCCAGCTCTGATAAATGCTTTTAAAGCTAACATTGCTGTCAGCCTGATGGGTTTTGAGGATTAGAGGGTTGAAGCAGAGCAACACAGAGTTCAGTAACACTAATATGACTGGAAATAAACGAGCTCGAGTCATTGATGGTGTGTTTGTCCTGCAGACGGATCAGAGGTCGCAGAGGACCATCAGTGATCTGAACGTGGTGCTGGACTCCAGCGACCTGCAGAACTTCAGCAGCTTCGTGTCCAGGTAGGAGCTGCAGGTTGACGCTCTGCTCACCTGAACAAACAAAACCAAAAAAACATCTGTTTCTGTTCGAGGTGTGCAGATTTAATCTGTTCTTCAACACTAAACCTTTAAAGATTGATCCTTCTGAAGGCGTTGGTAGTCTTATCATGATTAGAGTTTACCTTGTTCTGGTTAACAACACACCTTAAACAGCTTCTGAGCAGACTCAAACGAAGGCATCGAGAAAAACTGTTCGTCATAGAAAGGGAGTGAAGAACTGAGCTGGGAAACCGGTGAATTCTGATTTAAGAGGGTGTTTATTTTACCCCCAACAAATAACAAACTTAGATTTACAAGAATGATCGCTGAGGTTCTGGGCCCACAAAAGAGATGAAATGAACAAAATGAATCCAAAGCTCTGATGATTTAGAAAACCAACTGTACTGAGCAAAACTCAGCCACGGACCGACAAACTGAGAACAGAAGGGGACATCCAGAGCTTAACAAATGTATTAGACCACTGTCCAGTGTCGGGTTTATGCTCTAAATTAACAGCATTGGTAATTACCTAAATCATTCCTTATGTATCTGTTTACGGTTAATACACCAGTATGGGGAAGATCTTTAACAGAAATTATATTTTTAATGCTAAAATATAATTATTGTTGGTATCCATGAATGTTCAAATTGACTGTTTTATAAAAAAAAATCAGAAAAAATACTAAATCACATTATGATTTCTTGATTAAAATGTTAAATTCTAGTTATTTATTTGCATTCCTGAACAGAAAAATTAGTTTTAGTGGTTGAATGTTAATTCATTTCTCAGAGAAGCCCAGTGGCTCAGATTTGGGTATAAAAAGGTGAATTCAGTTTGAAATTCCTCAGTTAAACACTGCATATACTGATCAAACCACATACACAACACAACGTTTTATGTCACAAATCAGGATAACAGTGTATTATCTGACTGAACAATCCCACAGATTGGCTACGTTCACACTGCAGGACTTGATGCCACATTCAGAATTTTTTGTGAAATCCGATTTTTTGCGAGTTCGTTCACATTTCCAATTAAATGCGACTTGTATGTGATCTGCTGTGTGAACATCCATCCATCCATCCATTCATCCATCCATCCATACATACATACATACATACATACATACATCCATCCATACATACATACATAGATACATCCATCCATCCATACATACATACATACATACATACATACATACATACATACATACATACGTACATACATACGTACATACATACATACATCCATCCATACATCCATCCCTTAATCCTCGCTCGGGTCGTGGGGAGCTGGAGTCTATCCCAGCTGACTCAGGGTGAAGGCAGGTTCACCTGGACAGGCAACCAGTCTATAACAGGGCTACACTTACAGACAGACAACCAAGCACACTCACATTCACACCTACGGACAATTTAGAATCACCAATTAACCTCAACATATTGTTGGACTGTGGGAGGAAGCCGGAGAACCCGGAGAGAACCCACACTGCACGGGGAGAACATGGAAAGTCCACACAGAGAGATCCCGGTTTGTTGTCCAAACTTACCAGCGTCTTCTGTGGTTGTGCGGCTGCCGTCACATATGGGCAAGACATAAAAACTAGTTAAAACATGGAGATAACAGCACAAGTATTCCTGTAGGACATTTATAGAGGCGCACTCAGTTGTGCACTTCAAGAGTGACAGAAATATTCATGTAGTGGATGAAAAATGAAGAGAAGTTTAAACCCAAACTCCTGCTCAGTGGGTCGTTTATTCATCGTCTGTTTGCTTCCACAACTTGAATGTTTTTATTATTGCTGTCAGCGTGAGGATGTCTGTTTAGCAGAACTCGAGTGTTTATTAAAGCCGATGAAGAGCTCCAACTTCTCGCTCACATGTTCTCAATCTGCCTCAAAGCTCTTCTCGTGTTGTACCTGCTCGAGCGCAGGTGTGACTTATTACTGCCTCCGTTATAGTTGGATTCCATCGGTGTGCGCTGGCGTACTGGCTCGCCTACCTGTGGATGGAGCGCCGCCACCATCAATATGAGTTACACCTGCTCTTTTCCTGCCGTGGCTCCTCTGAACTATGTATTCCTTCGCTGCCAGGTGCTTTTTTTTTTTACACAGCGGGAGAAAATGTTATCCGAGCCAGTGGGTTGCAAATGATATTTCAACACAGAAGTTCAGTTTTGACCTTTGAAACAGTTTCTGAGTGTTTCTGCACATTTCCGATCGTTTTTCACTGCAGTATGAAGTCCTGCAGCTCCTATGGAAACAGCACAACTACAGCTAGGTTGAAAGAGAACTCAGAAATGTCTTTATTTGTAGATATTTTACATTTTTATTTGTTTCCATACTCTCTGCTCTGTGTGAACACTGCCTGCAGTTCAGCCCAAAAGCTCCATGAATTTTTGTTGCGTCACCGTTGGTCACAACTGAGTCACTGATGGCTCCGTAGCTGCGATGATGAGCGCAGAATTTTATGTGTTTGGCAGAATCTGGCTCGAGTGCACGCTTTATTTTTGGCGAATTTTTAAATGAGACGTGTAGCATAAAGTAATTTTCTTCAGATTTGGTTCATTTTCCTGATGGAACACACATTATTCTTTCATGGACTGTTGAAAATCAGAATTTTTACAGTTCCTGGCTAATGAATTCTGCCATTTTGGGCATTTTTTATTATTGTTTTTATTGGTTTCGGGCTTCAGAGGAATAAACCCTGAACCTTATGTTAGTTTAGCTGCTTTTTTTCACTGTCAACTAAAAGGTACAATTTAAACACATGAAGGACGTTTCAGTATCGATGATGAATGTTGCACTCAAATGTCCCACTACGCTGTTTCTTCCAGTAGCCATTGCTGGTGTCACCTCTAATTATTCCAACAGTAAGCAGATTTTATTATATTTTTTTCATATGTCGTCATGAAGCACAGCAGTCTGCTCCTGTCACATCAAACTGATGCGCCTTCGGTTGTGGAATACAGAACAAATGCGGTGCCTTTCATGTGCATAGGTGTATTTTCTGTCCCGATAAACCGCAATCTGCCAGGAAGCTTTGTCAGTGGTTCAGCAACACAGAGACAAAGTCTGATTTGCTCTACATCTGAGGCCAAACCACATCTGGATCGTGTGGCTCAGTCTGCAGAATCTGGCAAACAACAGATGGAAAAATACTGAAGATAATGATTCAACACACTGCTGCCTTGTCAGGAGTCTGTGTGTGTGAGAGAGAGAGTCGGTTTTACAGCCCAAATCGGACTGATAATCTTTAATTCAATGCGGTCTGAGCCGTTGGAGATAAATATGGACACCGGGACTGTTGTTGGTCGTATTTGTTCAGCAGATATTTCCACATCTGTCCTGCCGTCTCCCTCAAGTTCTTAACTTTGTTAGTGCTTGATGCAACACAGTCCTCCTCTGTGGCCACCCATGCTTTGGCAGCACTCGCCATCCAACACAGAATCCCTGTAGTTACACATGTAAAACTCTGAAAAGATGCTGCAGGTCACAGTTACTCAGTTAATGAGTGAGTCACTGTGAGATCTGCACGCTCAGCTGTTTCCAGGTGTCGTTTTTTGCTAGTGTGTCGATGTCGAATCTTTACACACTGAATTTTATGATCTTAAACGGGCTAAAATGTAGGTTTTTATAGTGAAAGTCTGTTTTTGTTGTGTTTTATTTGTCTCACTGTCTCACCTTTAAATAGGGTTTTATTGTACTTTGTACATCAAGTTGTTTACATCGTCATACTATGTACATTTGCACATTATTGCACACTATAAACATTTCTATTACTGTCTAGAACTTATGATTCCTTGGATTTACTCTGCCTGTCTGTCCTTGTGCTTGAAAAACTTGCTTTCTATTTAGATTAAAAATTCTGCGCTTGACACTGTTAAACGTGATGCACCAAATCACCACATCAGAGTCCTCATATGTAAGAAGAAACAACAACAACAACAAAAAAAATCGGGCAATAAAACTGATTCTGACTTGAAAACTTGGAGATGTAAAATATAATCTGTCGGAGTATGAAGATATTTACTTCTGCCATTCCTCAAGCTATTCCCTCAATGCAGTTTTCTTTGCAGAAACTGAGGAACCAATAGCGGTCCAGCTCTGTATAGCTCCGCCCCCTCTCTGCTTCCAGGTGAACCAATCAGAATGAGCAGCTGCCTCACAGTCCACCAGGTTTATTTACTCTCTACAGCTGCTTCTGCTAAACTCTAAAATGTTTGAGCAACAAATAAAACTCACCAAGTGTTCTGCTGTTGACAGCAAGAGTGAACACAAGAGTCTTCATGCACTCCCAGCATCTGATGAACTGAACACGCAGTGGATTATTGTTGTTATTGATGGTAATCTCCTGCATGTTGTGCAGCTAATGTGGCTAACATCTCCACCTGGTAGCTTCTCTCCTGCTCACTGTGCTCACATAAACTGCATTTTGTCATTTGTGTTTCTGTTGTCAGACAACAGAACGAGGATGAAATCGTGACTGAAAAGCAGCTCAGGATGTATACAGTCATGGAGGAATCAACTGTCTTAATGGTGTTCTAAACTGAAAGACACATTCATGGCACACGAGGGCTTTTATTACTTTCCTGAAAAACACGGGACCTTTAAATCTCCAGAGAAGAAGCAATTTAAACACAGCAAACTTATCATATAGTGGTTTTAATGAGAGGTGTGGATTTGGAAAGTTTAATTGGCTGCTTTGGGTTTGTCGTCCCAAAGAAGCAATAAACTGAGTTTTCATGAAAAGCTGAAGGACAGATCAAACTATAGCAGCATGTTTTTTGGTCTATTTGGCCATTTTGGATTCTCTGTCATGCTGACACGTTTTAGTTGGTGACAAAAATACACTTCTGAGTCATAACCAGCAAGAAAGTTTATTTATATCACACAGAGAGGCTCACCTTTATTCATCGGGGCTGTTGCTGCAACAACATTTTCAAACTAATTTAATTTAACATGTAATTTGGTAAAATATACATCAACATCAACCTTTCTTGGGGACCAACAGGATCAAAAATATAATATATAACATATGCTTTGGATGTTGACGTTCACTTCTTGACTTTTTTGTGTCGTAATTCTGTCTGACCAGGAAACTTATCTGCCGCCGTGTTTGTCAGTGGAGCAGAAGCTGTGGCGGTGTTTTCACGTCACGTCTATCAAGAGATGTGTTCGTTTCAGGGTTGTTTCTGTAAATCTGCTTCCATGAGCAGGTAAAGCTCTTTGTGGCGATACAATGGATGGACTCTCATAAAATGTCTAAATTACATTCATGGGTAACAGAAGATGTTTAACTGACTTGAGGAGGGACTTTCATGATGCCATCTTCTCCAGATACCTGCATGTCAGAGTCCTTCCCTCAGAAATCAGACATCCAGCGTCACTCTGCCGTTTCATAAACCTAAAATACAAGTTGTTGTGACCACAGAGCAAAACTAGTTCAATTAAACTGTCCAGAATACATGCAGACGTCCTGTAAGAGTGGCCTTGTATTTAAAGCAGCAGCTGTGTTGAAAACAAACCTGCCTTTGAGCTCCAGAGCTGATGGATCTCTGCTGTCCTGCCCTCAGCTCATTTCACACCGTCGGCCTGGATCGGAGTTCGCTCAGCTGCAGCTGGGAGTCGGACTGGTTCAGGGATGACAACAGCAACTCTGTGTGTTAATGGCAGAGATTCAGAACCAAGCTTGACATAATCCAGTCCGCCTCGAGTCCTTTAACCTCCTCCCACAATGCACTGCAGCAGCAGCAGCGACTCCCCAACACTTGCTGACTGTTGGGTTACGAGGCTTTTCAGCTGTTCCACTAATAAACGGTTGGATAGAAACGAGACTACATTACATCTGCACGATGCTGTGTCATTTAAAAAAGGAGCTTTTGTGTGTAAATGATGTGTGCCCTCGGGATTGTTTTCTTATTTATTTTTTCTGCCAATTGCAGAATATAAAATAGTGATTTCATTGTGGCTCATAAATGCTGCATGTTAAACAGTTATTTCCACGGCGCTGCACTGCAGTGCCAATAAAGTATTCGTTTTATGATAAAGACATCATCTGATGAAACAAACAAACTGTACTGAGATTTAAAACGAGTGAAGTTCTGTATGTTTACTGACACACAATAGTGTGTTTATTCTGACGGCTGTTAGGATTTGATTTACGACATCATTTTTACAATGAAATGAAAGTCTGTCATGTCCTCAGAATGTTTCTTTCAGTGTTTCAGCTCCAAACAACATAAAGACAGCTGATTCCTCCAAGACTGTATAAATCCTGGTTTTATCCTTTAGACGTAGCTAAGCTGCTGCTGGCCCCGCCCCCTTCAGGAAGAAGACTCTCTCTGATTGACAGATGAATGAATGTGGAAGAGCAGATCTTTGTATCTTCTTTGTCTCTGAGGATCATTTGACATGAAATATCTGAATTCTCAGCTCAGACGTTGGTTTTAACTCCTGTCTTTAGTGAGTTTGTCAGACGATGTTATAAATTCTGTAGCTTAACTACAGCTTGGAAATAAAGTGAGTGTGTTTGAGCTGCGTTTCAGTCACGATTTCATCCTCGTTCTGTTGTCTGACAACAGAAGCAGAAATGAGAGGAGCTTTACTGTCTAATCAGCTGTAATAAAATGGAGTTTATGAGCACAGAGAGCAGGAGAGAAGCTAACAGATGGAGATGTTAGCCACATTACCTGCACAACATGCTAACGCCAAGAACTCTCCTATTGTTGTGAGGACATTACCATCAATAACAACAATAATCCACTGCGTGTTCAGTTCAGCATGAAGACTCTTATGTTCACTCTTGCAGCCAACAGCAGAACATTTGGTGAGTTTTATTTGTTGGTCAGGCATTTTAGAGTTTAGCAGAAGCAGCTGTAGAGAGTAAATAAACCTGATGGACTGTGAGGCAGCTGCTCATTCTGATTGGTTCACCTGGAAGCAGAGAGGGAGCGGGGTTAAACAGATATTATTGGTTCCTCACGTTGTATGTAGAACCTGAATAAACTTCTGATTGGTTGTACAGCTGGGAGGAGATGTAGCTGAGGGATGATTAAGTATGATCTTAACATATTTGTATACTGACAGCTTTTATTTTACACCTCCAAGTGTTTAAGACAAACAAAACCCAGTATAAATAGATTTTGAACCATATGGGACCTTTCAGGAACCAGTAGAACCAGATAATGCAGATAAAATATCGAACGAGGCGTTGGTCTGTCTCCCTCGCTCTGTTCTTGGTAGCGCTCCATCATATAGCAGCGAGCTGCCATGTTTCCATCAGCTCTGTGTGGAATAACAGTCATCTGGAAATTCAACCCGGCTGCCGTCTAGCCCTGGGCCCCCACGGAAAACTCTGGAAATCCTTTAACAGAACGTCCCAGACTCTCTCAGACGGACCAAAACAAATGTCATGTGATATAGAGTATGCTGTACATAAGGAAGCTCCTTTTTCTAACTTCACTTTAATAGTTTTTGGGTGAGCAGCTCTAAAGTTGCTGGTTTGTTGTGTGAATGCTGGAGTATCTGGAGACATTAGACTTGATGGACGCATCATATTCTGGTGCATATTTAAGTTAGAATGAAATCAGTTCATTAAGACAGATTCTTCAGCCTTCTTTTTGTCCATAATGTTGTAATAATAAAACAAAAATCCTCCAAATTGACCTTTCTGAGGTAAAGGTTGACTGCCTCTGGTAATTAAGGTTTGCTTTAAAATAGTATAGAGATACAGTCCTGGAAAAAATCTAAGTGTTCTGAATATTCAGTTACCAGTTTTTAATGTTATCTTATAGTGGACATGCAGTTTATATTCATATTTATTTTTAAACTTGTGTATTTCAAAAATACCCCCCAAAAATCAGAAAAAGACAGCAGTGTTACTGGTGTATACTCTTCGATGATTGTTTTTAATTTTAAAACATTTAAAACGTTTTTACAAAAAATGTTTTGGTTTATTCAAAGCTACATATGACGATGAACATTTTAACTCCTTTACCGACTGACAATTTAATACAAATGTTACGTAAAAACAACAAAAAAAGTCAAATTTCTCTCAAAAAAATAAAATTCTTTGAGTTACATTCTAGTTTTGTGATTTCATAGATTTCTTTTTAAACATTATTCCAAAAACATGATGCAGTAAAACTTCCACTTTGATTGAAACAGAATGCATGAACTTGTGTAGAAATGTTAAAGAAATACATTACTATATATTTTTTGCATCTCATCTGTATTGGACCAGTGAAGGCTAATGGACACATGGTCTCCAGTTTGAATGAACTGGATGTTATCTGGCTGCAAACATTCGCGGCTCTTTAATAAAGTGTGTGGTTTAATTTCAGCGTGGAGGAGAGCAGGGATCTCCTGCTGTTCTTCAGGACTTTGAGGACTTTCTCAGACAGATGCGACGATCGATGCAGAACCTTCCAGCACTTCCAGGTAAGCGAACCTGCACACACTTGCTGTCCACGAAGCTCGTAGGTTCATCTGTTGCCGACACGCGATGCTGCTGTTTAAAATGAACGTGGATTTGGTCGGGTTTGGTTCGATGCAACACAGCTGGTGACGCCGTGTCATAAAGCATGTTTTTTGTGGAAGGTGAGTGTTTTTATCCAGTGAGAATACCACAAACTGTTCGCTAGGTCTTAGTGTTTTAGTCCGAAAGCATGCTGGGACATTTTAACTTTCATGGATCATCTGCATTGTCGAGGAGACCAGATGGTCAGTTGGTCACTGTGAGGGCAGACGGAGGTAAAACGGCATCTTCGGGTTGGATTTCATCTCTAACCTCTGCTGGGTTTCACCCTCATCCATCAGTGGAGGAGCTTTGTTGTTTGGTCCAGTGAGAAGTCAAAGATCAAAGTTCAGGGTTTGTGCACCAGAGTGGACCGACTGATGTCAGGTTTGTATTTCAGAATCACAGGAACATTTTATTACTTTGTTTTTTTGGGAGAAACTTGCTGTTCTATCACATTGCTCTTATGCTAGTAATCAGATCAAAAGGTAAATTCTGTGAAAGCGACTGAGGCCTCCTGAACCAAAGTATGACAATCCTTAACAGTGTTGTTCTTCTGGAGAGTTCTGGTGACGTGACAGGAATTTTGTACGATATCAGGGTAAAAAAAAAAACGACATTCCAATGTTTTGTTCCACTGACATACAGTTAAAACATCCAAGGATGTGTGATGATGATGCCTCCAAAACAAGTGCCACTTCCTGCAGAGTGAGATGTTTGTCAGCTGCTCAGACTCCGGGTGGCTAAAGACTAGAACAGAGGAGGTCAGTGCAGGAGGTGTGAGTTGGTGAGGACATGCTAAGCATCAGGGTGGGTCTCCGCTGAAGAGGTAGCAGCAACATTTCAAGTAGTACATCAAGCTGCAGGAGCAATATGGAACCGATTCTGCTGTTTACTCGGAGAATATGAAGTTTCTGCCAAGTTGGCCGCGCTGAAGGAGGATTAACCCACATTTTCCATACCGGCCCGTGTGCTCTAAACGCTTATTTTTGCTTTACTTGCATTTTCTTCAGCATTACTATGGAAAAATGTAATTCCCATTGTAGCTCTTTGGCTGTAATGTATTCCACGCTTTAATGACACACAGACAAAACATGCACTTAGAGGAGTAAACAAGTAAAAAACAAAAAAGAAAAGAAAAAGAAAAAAGGTTGCATCCCGTCCAGGAATCTGAGGCCTGTTGTTGCCGTGTGACCGCAGAAATAAGCAGCCAGTCGCTGATGACGGTCGGCTACATTCACTTACAAACCACATCGTTTATTAGCATGTGGCCGATCGCTGGCACTTCCCCAGTAAACACAGCGAGCTTTGAAAATTGAGTGTGTTCCTCCAAAGTCGAGTCTGTTTTCCCACAGCATCCCATTCGTTGTGATTAATATAAAATCTGCACCAGGAGTAGCAGCACTCATCACATCAGTGTGCTTTGTATTGCTGCTTTGGAGTCATGCTTTATTTTTTTTTAGTGATATACAAAATACAGACACAGTTTGAGGTATTAAATAGAAAAGAAATGTGAAATTATGATAAATCTGCAAATGTATTAAGAGTCTTTAAAATTGTTCTACATTAGATGTCATTTTCTGCAGATATATTTGTGTGTGTGTTTTTAAGTTTTGTGGCATCTTTATTGACCTGATGACTCAAAACATCGACTTTTTTTAAGAGCTCAGGTGAGATATGAGAGAAAATGTGCGATATTAGAAAAAAACGACCATCTGCAAGTGCATCAGAGTCGTTGCAGTGCTTCCATTTTTTAATATTTAAAGTCTGCACACAGTATTATTTACACTGATTGTGGTGTTGGAGGTCGTGCTAATTGCAACTAAAGAACTGAAAGTGAACCAAATGGTGTAAATCTCACCGTTATCAGCATCTCGAGCTGTTCTTTGGCTTGAAAACTTTAGTCCCGTAGCTTGTAGTGGACGTAGCAGGGCTTGAGCTCCAACACGGACGTATCATGTGAGTGTTTGACGTCTGTATTTTTAGTGTGTCCACACTTAGAGGTGCTTTTTTGAAAGTTTTCAGTTCTTGGAGTTTTTGTATTTTGAACCCCATCAAAACAGTATTAATGTGAAGCCATTTTAAGGGTTCAGTATCTCCAGACGTTAAACTCCCAGAGCCATGACGTGTGGCGAAGACAGTTTCCAGCAGATCCAAATGATTGGATGTTTCCAGCAAAGGACAAATTTTTATTATTGAGTCTTTGAAATTGGAAGAAAGTGGTACAGTTTCAAACAAGGCTGGCATCGGGGCCCGAGAAAGTCCCTGTAAGTGTATATATATGTGGATGTATCTATATTTCCTACTAAAATACAGTTTTTGGTCGACATTTCACCAACTGTTGAGGCCTCTAACATCAGTAGAAGTTGATGTGAGGCAAGTATAGCAAGACAATGTTCTAGTTTTTTACTATTTTGATAATAATGTTGATGTGGGCTCATTGCTAGGAGGCAGGAACTGGTGTGAATGGGGCTCTATATGTTGTACAAGCCGCTGTTGTCACATGAGGCTTATTTTGCCTCACTGGATGTTCAGACACGTAAACCACCACATGTAGGCGGCTTTTGTGTTCTCCTTAAATCTTTTCATGTTTACGGTCTTCATTATGTTTCAAGCCTTTTCCAGCAATGATTCCAGACACATTTTAAATTAAAAAAAAAAAAGTTTAACTTTATTCAAATATCTTTGAACATAGCCTTGTCACATACACGTCTTCCTGTACACCACTGTCCTATTCACATCAGTAATAACCTCTACAGTTATCTTTTATTACTGGAAGGGAAGAGTTAGAGACAAAGCGAGACACTGTTAAAGCAGACAGAAGCGAGATGAGTAACATTCACATTACTATAGTTCATAGATACGTTGATCCCCAGTTCTCTTCAACTGGAGTCTATAAATTAAACAAAGGGAAGCAAAGTCACAAAGTACTTCAGGAAGCCTGCAGCTGGTTGTATCTACATGGTCGCTGCCCTTATGGAGGCGGTTTTAATAGAATAATCAAAAGTAACATGAATCCACACAGCAGCGGAGCAAAGCCCACTTTTCCCTCAATGAGGAAAGTATTTACAGATGGCTCTTGTCTGTCTAGAAAATCTAATGTTTTAGTTTAACGTCGAGTCCGCCGGGATCTTTGTGACAAGTAAGACATCTCGAAGCAACACAGAGTTAATGTGAAGAGAAATGTTCACGGCGCTCACAGGTTTGTGGGCTTTTATACTGTCACCACGGCCATGTGACAATGAAGCGAAATTAGACTGCAGATCATCGTGCATGTATCAAGTATTCCTTCTGTTTGACTGAAATCACTTAAATCCTCTCCTTTCTTAGTATCATCGTGTAAAAGGGGGGCAGACATTTTTGTAGTTTTTGAACACTTGTTCACTATTAGGATGTTTTCTTTACAAGGCAGCACTTCCAAAGCATGTATGTAGAAAGCGTGTGCTTTGTTTCTAATGTAGCCTCGACTTCCCCGACTCAGACTGTCTGCTCACAAACTGTAGTCTTTGTTGCTAAGGTTGCTGCTAAAGTTATTCAGAGAAGCTGACATTCTGAGTGAAGAAAGACAAAAAAAAACCCCAAAATCAATCATCAGGAGGGTTTTAAGAAGACAGGAGCTGAAACTGAGGCTGAACTGAAGGCGAGAATACAGTAAATATGAAATTTTTCTTTGACTGTATATCATGCAAAAATATGCAAATACAGCCCCAAGATAAAAACATATGGCAGGAAACATGTACAATATGTTTCCTCTGCCTGCTGCGGTTTACTCCGAAAACATGTTCAAACATTGTCTGTTTCTTAATCTAACGTTTTTATTCAGTTGTGATAGTGTGTCTGACAGAACTCTACTTTCAAAACTTTAAATTTAGTGTCTGCTCCAAAGCTAGCCTGAAAGGCAGCTCAATACTGTCTAAGTCTGCAAAATTTAAAATGAGACATAATTCTGCAAGAATTTATTTGCAGCAAAAGGTGCTGCATGAATGTACCTGATTTTGACTCTTAGTCTTTGCAGTAAGAGTAAAAAAGCAGGAACTGCTGTGTTTTAAACTAACAGCTGCTACAAGCCAGCCAGAGGGCTGTACTACGAAGCAAAGTTAACGAGTTACGGAGGTGTGTGGAGCCCAGTTTTCAATGTCAGGTGGCTCTGTTTTAACCTGCTGGATCACCATGGCAACTGAGATTGCACAGCTACATCAACGTGGTAACTGATGCTGCACAACTGGGTTGTCATGGTACCAGGTGTAATACAGGAATATTCCTTTATTCAGTCAGTAACCTTAATTTGACTTTGATTTGTCCAAAGACTAACGCCTCCTTCAGTCTGGGACAGTTCCAGACCTAAATGTTGAGCACCATATTGAAAGTTTCAGAGCTCTAATGCGCAGCTGTAAGTTAGAAATTAGCAGCCGAGAGTCACTGAGTGGGAAAATAACTATATTACCCTACAGCATTAACAGTTTCCTACCAGCACTCCTCTTTGAACTCTTTTTCAATCCCATTTTGTGCAGGAGAAGAGTCACGTGACCCCCACTTCTTTTATGGAAAGTCTCTGATTCATACCCAGTGTCCCTGGTCGGGGTTTTGGGTTTTGTCGATTTGGCTAACCCAGAGAAAGCCTGACTATGTTGAACTTGCTTCGTAGTGCAGCCCTCGGCTGGCTTGTGGCTGCAGATGAGTGTTTGTGTTGGTTTGAGGTCACAAGCATTTTGTTTAGTTTCATTCATCCAGGTAGCAGAGCGTCAGGTCATAATGAAACCATACACTGGACTGTCAGTGCTGAGGTGTTGCACTGCTCCACTCATTCAAGGGGTTGCATTAGACTCTTACAGTCCCAGAGTTCATGTTAATGAAATTAAATGTTGTGTTTTTGTAAAGCAGACAATGTGACAAACACTTGGTGCAGTGAATAGCAAAGTGTTTGTCATCATCTTCTGATTTTAGACATGGTTGGACAGTTTGTTTGGAACGTACTGAGACCTTCTCACATCTTCTCAAGTAGTTCAACATAGATTCATGTGAGTGTGACGCTCAATAACTCTGATATTAAACATTTAAACTGGGGATGCCCTGATTAAGGTTTTTTCTTGTAAATGTATTGTCGATCAGCTGTAGTACCTGGTTGTTCCACCAGGTGGAGTTTAGATATATATACTCCTCTCTGATAGTCAGTAAAAGTAAAAGGTCCTTACATGAGTTGAGAAACACCTTCAGCTCTACACCTTCAGTCCAGTGAATGGTTTCATTTCGACCTGACAGTGAAACAAGCTGTTTGTTGGTTTGCTGAAGTTAAAAACACCTTTATCCCCACCATGGGACCAGCTCCCCAAAATCCAGAACGTCACGGCATCCCCCATCTCACTGTTGTGGGAAATGTGCTCCATCAGCAACAAATGGGCTACAGTAAAGTTGTGCCTCCTCAGCGGTACCGTCCAACAGGCAGGACTTTCATACAGGTGAAGCTGTCGGGGTACTTGGACAACACCACCGGGTTGCCGTCCATACGGACCTCACTGAGGCTTGGCCGTAGATAGTAGGTGTCATTGGACCTGCAGAAGGTGTCTATGTTGACATCAGTGATGTTGTTGTTCTGGAGGAAACAGAAATGAGGTTTAAAATTTAACATTGGTAGATAATGTTGAATAAAATAGTACTTCTTGAATTGAGAACACAACTTTTTACAACAGTTTCAGGGTGTCAGTCGTGTCTAAATGTCATTTATTTGTATGTATTGTGTCAGTAAAAGGTCCAAACCTGTAAGTGTAAGATGCGAACACTCTCTGGGATGTGTGGAACCGCTTCCAGCTGGTTGTCGGCCAAAAACAGGTTCATCAGCTTGGTTAGTTTCTGTTGGGTGAAAAATGACACCACATAGACTCAGTAAAAGTTAGTTAGCTTACCCCGGACATGCTAAATATACCTTATTGTGATCTACATACTGTTTTGGTAGTTTAATGGATCTCTAGATGGATTACCAGTTAGCCTAACTGCATGAACATGAATCTTTGATCAGATGAGACGAGGTTCAGCATGTTTGGTCTGACCCTGACAAAGACTATCACAGTGAATGCATAGTCCTGACAGTGAAGCACGGAGGTGGTGGTGTGGTGATATGGGGCAGAAGGTGTTGATGACATTTATAGATGTCAAGACTGAGAATGGAGTGTGTCATCAAAATGAAGGTAGACATACAAAGTATTGGTTCGTGTCTCTTTTTAGATCACTCCCTAATGGTCAAGAAATAGTTCTGGGTATCCTTATTAAATAATGCTCCACATTACCCAACCTTTGAGTCAGGTTGGGACACTGCTAATTGAAAAGTTTGGTGCGATGATGATGATGTACCTTGAAAGCATTGGCCTTGACACCCTTGGTTTTGAGGAGGTTGTAGTTGGCGTTGAAGGATGTGAGTTTGTTGGGCAGCATTGGAAGTTTGACCAGTCTGTTCTCAGCCAAAGACAGTTCCTCCAGCAGGGACAGCTTTGAGAACGCACCGTCTTCAATCTCTGAGATCATGTTCCCTGTCAGGTCGATCCTCTTCAGAGTCACTGCAGACAGACGGACACAAAAACAAAACAAAAACTGTTCATATCCATCGTTGTTTGTGTCTAGCATTACATCAGTCTTAAATATTCCTGTCAGCTGCTGAGCTAAATCATACATATGGTGCCTGGGCTTCACCTTGTGAACCTCAAACCGTTTCTGGATGTTTTTTTTTTTGTGGCTTATTTTTCACAACAATATGAAGTCCTGCCCTCTATCGAAACAGCACAACCATGACTAGCGGTAGAGAGAGCTCAGAAATGTCTTTTGTACCGTGATACAGTTAGAATTAGCTGAGAGCTTTCAGTTTCTGCCACTTTTAGACTTACCGGTGTTAGCGAAGTCTTTGGTGCTGATCTTCTTGATCTTGTTGAAGCGGGCGTACAGGTAGGCGGTTTCTTTGGGCAGAGTCGGAACGGAGGTCATGTCTGGACTGACCTCTTCACAGTACACAGAGCCCGTCAGACAGACACACAGCAGGCAGGTGGGAAGATCTGCAACACAGAGTCACCACATCAGCATCATTCCTACTTTAGAATAATCTTTGCTGGTCTTGTTTACATTTAAGTAGGGCTGTACTCATTAAATATTTTACACCTGATCCAACCAGAGTCATTTAATATTCAGTATCTGCCAATAACGAGTCCCAATCTCATTCTGCTTTGCCAGATAATACACCCTTCACACACATTACATTCATTAAAAATCAATCAAAACATGAACAGCACTTTGATCAACTCAGGTTGTTGTAAAAGGTGCTACAAGAATATACTTACATACCTTTATCACTTAAATGTCAACAGATTCAGCGTTGTGTCACCTGTTAATAATCACATCGTTTCTAAGTTGAACTGCAGAATGTTTTCTATTTGATGAATCAAAAACAAATATTTTGGAGAGAATGTGTTAAAAATTCAGGCTCCAAAGTAGAAGCTTTATGCAGCAACAGTGAATCCAGCTGTGATCACTGAAACTAATCTGAGTTCATCTGTGATTTACAATCAGCCTACCAGCACTAACATGGTTGTAAAATAAGCTGTGAACAGCAGAACTTTCTCAGTTTTGGACCTATGGGTTGTGTCTATGTCTGCATCATGGCTCCACATGGAGAAGAATTTTCCAGAGAAACTAAATGATCTGATTGTGAGAATTCACAAAAATGGAAAAAGTTACAGGAAGGTCGGTGAGCAACTGAACATCAGTGTAACACATTTTCTTGCCACAGGGTTTATCAGTGGAAGCCTGAGTGTCTGTGACAGCTCAGATGGTGTGAAGGACACTTCATCATATCAGGCTGCATAATTACAGGACAAAGCAAACCTTGCTTGGTCTTCAACGCAAAACTGCCTCATTAGGCTTTTCTAAAGGACATGACAAGAAGCCTGATGAATGTTGGAGAACATTCTTTGATCAGATGAAGATCAACTTGTTCTGCTCAGATGGAGTCCAGATGTTTGGTGTGAACCTGACCAGGACGGCCACAGTGGATGCATCGTCCTGACAGTGAAGAAGGAGGCGGGAGTGTGATGACATAGGTGTTGGGGCGATGCCATTTATAGATGAATGTCTGAGGATAAACCAGAATACTGGCTGACAAGATGACTCTCAGTCTGCAGAAGCTTGAAGAAGAGGAACATTCCAGCAGGAGATCCATTCAGAGAACAAAATCACACAAGGGTTTTTAAAGACGAAAAAAGTAAAAACTACAACCTGCTATGTGTCCTGACTGGGATCCAACAGAAAATGGTTTTAAAAAAAAAAAAAAAAAAGTAAATGTAGTTCAACACAACAACTCCAGCAAGGAGCAGCTGAACAATATGTTGTGTGAACAATGTAATCTCAGAAATAAAAGGTGGACTGACTTTTGTTGCAAAGAGTTCTTACTGTGGGGTTGAAAGTTTTAATGTAGTAAATCTGAACCAGTTACAGCTCAAATACTCCACGGTGCAACTTAGGAGTGATGCCGTTACTGAGAGGTGATGCAGTTTAGAATTCATTGGACACTCACTTATAAATCTCAGACGAACCCAGCTGTCTTGTTGGCTTTACTAAACCTTTAACCCGCAACTCAAACAACTGCAAAGCAACTTTAAACATCTCACTTTAGCTCCATTTTCTTATGTGTGGCCACATGCAGATGAGTTTAACAGTCTTTGTCTTACCGGAGGCGTCTCCTCCCTCTGGGATCGGGCTGTCATCGGGCTCATCAGCAGGAGGCAGCGCCCTCTGCAGGAGAAAACGTGTCCTGTTCATATATTGACATTGACTAGAGCACAACACTGACGCTGTCGGGTTTAGGAGGTCAACTTGGGAAACAGATTTACACACTGTCAGATTTTGGCTAGAAACCAAATAAAGGATAAACCCCTGAAGCTGTGCGCAGGTTTAAAGGGCTTGTTATTAAAAAAAAAAAAAAAATCACCAATAAACACCATTCATCATAAAAAGAAACTATAAAACTGAGAAGATGGTGGAAAATATGCTGAATCTATGCTTAAAATAAGAATATTTCACCAATAATGTTACTTTATTCTACATGTCTACATGCGAAAATTAAATTACAGTAGAAGGAGTATGGAAAGAAGTAGTAAATATTCATAGTGTGTTGAGTGACTGTTTTTCTCCAGTATTGGTAACGCCTGTTGTACATGTTGATGTTTTTTTTTCTGATTTTGTAAAGTAAGTAATCCAGTTCAGCTTGTTTTATCTATTGATTTATTTAAGGATTTCTGTCATTTCAATTGTGTGATAGTAACAGAAGACATTTCAGAGTTCTCTCTCCTTCCATTCATGGTTGTTCTGTTCCTATAGAGGTGCAGGACTTTATATTGTCGTGAAAAATGAGCTCACAGTGAGGAAAAATGAGACGGGAGCAAAAAAACCACCCCAAAACTACAGATTGAGTCACTTTAAGTTTAGCTGAGGAGCGTAATGTTTTTGTTCTTCTACAAGTTCAAGAAAACGGTTTATTTTTATGAATGTTTACGTGACGTGTAGAATAAAGTGATGTTGATGAAATGACACAATCTTAAGCTGGTAACACGTCACACATGATTAGTTCAGGGACTGTCAGAGAGTTGAAAACCCCACAGTACTTTTGTTTTTACAGTTTCTGATGTAATTCCAGCCAGTTTTCGGCTAAACGTGTCGTTCAAACCTGACTGCAAGGGAGCAGCAGTTTACAGCCTCAACGTATAGACTGAGACGAACACACAGGGATGACTGGTGATTGTCATAATGTTTTAGAATTCACTGCAAACAGTGAGAGTAGCTGAATGTGTGATAATCACTGAGGCCTGTTAGGGACCCTGTTGGGTCTCATAAACACTTCTACAACCGTAAACACCACTTGGTCCTCATTTGTGGGGGCGTGAAGATCAACTATGATCCAGTAAGACCAGTTTTGGCCACAGATCAATGAGTTTAAAGGTTTATTGATACTGTATAGAAGGTTAGCGCGATGAGACAGAGTTTTTCAGCTCTGGTAAGTTATCATGGTCCGTAGTCTTTTGGTGAAAGTTGGGTTTCACGTTACAAAGTCGTTTACCACCAGTGTGTGCTTGGACTTATTTGACTGGCCAATCCAGTAATTTGTTAGATGATATTTGACGGGGTTTTGAAATAGTTCAAACAGCTTTTTTAGGTGTTGTTTTGGCCACAGTCAGTGATCTTGTCCGTCATCGTGGCAGCCAGTGGGCCAACCCTGGTTTAGTAAAGTCAAACCTGTGTGACACTGTAGTGCTCCCATGTGAAACCCAATGAGAATCAGGTAGGTGACCAGACCGGGCACTTTCTTAAGGCCAATTCATGGTTCGCTGTAGGGTGGAACATCGGGAACCGGTTCCAACTTAGAACAGGTTCCAACGGGGAGATTCCAAGAGAAATTTTACCTTAATGTTGATTGTCTTGAAAGAACCGCTTTAAATTATCAAAGTCTGCAGCCGATCACTTTACAAGGACGGGATGGGGCTCTGCTGTCGTTACAGTAAAGTAGATTGTAAGTAAATCCCAAAAACATTCAGAACCAAGGCAGGTTTGAAATACTTTCAGTCCAAGTACTCACAGTTTGAAGCTTTATTCCACCCTAACAGTGCGTATTCTGTAGAGGGCGTTTAGCTAGCAGCGGGCCACCACGACAAAGACTTCAGAGAAAGTTAATGACTTACAGCCTGAGCTCATTTACTGAGGACGGCCTGTAGTCTAGGACTGTGTTCCTACAGCTGAGTCTCAGGTAACCAAGTGAAGGTCACATCCACGAGGTTAAACGTGACTCTGTCAGCACATGAAGTAACAGAAACTTTCCTTATGTGTTGTAGCAATGAATCGATTATTTATGGATTTTGCTGCCCGTTGGCTAAGACGATAGTTTGGCTAGTGGAAACACAACATGAAAGGAGACTTTATTTCTCTTTTGTGACTGCAAACACAGACTTTAGTAACTATTCTGGTTGTCGAGGCTCTTTCCAGCTGACTGAAGTCACTTTACTGTGACTGCAGCAACCTGCCGCCGCTTCTCTCACAACAAACCCACTAATCTACATGTCCACCTTCACTGAAAGACACCATCAGGCATATAGTTATTGAGTGTTTGCTGATAGACTGAGGTGGGCAGTAATGGATATTAATACCACACTGTCATTTGAAAATATAATATAAACTAAAATCAGGAAAATGTGCTATGATGTTGAAAGTACTCCATGCAGAACAATGCTTCCTGTGACTGTTATAGTTTACTATATGATAGCATCGCAGCAGCATATTATTAAGTATATATATGATGTAATTTGCATCCTGTGGACACTTGCAGCTTTTTAGCCTCTGACCTCAGGAAGCCTTCGACCTTTGGATGTTCTGAAACGCTTGAGGACGGTTCCTGGTAAACAAACCCTCTGAGCTCTGTGGAAGTTTTCTGCTCCTGTCACGTTTTTACTTACTGTGGGCTTATTTTTCACTGCAATATGAAGTCCTGCAGCTCTATGGAAACAGAACAACCACGACTAGGAGGAGAGGCAACTCACAAATATCTCCTGTGCAGAATGACACTGTTAGAATGACAGAAATCAGGGAAAAAAAAACTAATTTCTTTGATTATTTGATTTACAACTATTGCCCAACATTGTTCCAAGTTCCCTCAATAGTTAACAATACATGGAAAAATGGAGGTTCTACATATTATAGATATTTTACGACCAATATTTTAAATTATGCTGTGCAGAAACACAGCCTGCAGCTCAGTTGAAAACTCTGAATTTTTGTCTCACGACTGTTGGACTCAACTCAGTCAGTCACGGCTTCACAGTTGTCCAGAATTTTTTGTTTTCACAGAGTCTTGTTCTTGCAAACACTGGATTTTTCACAAATTTTTAAATGAGAGCTGTAGAGTAAAGTGAATTTAAGCCTTCTGGTGGAATGTTGCCTCACGAATGATTGGTTCAAGGACCATCAGAAAGTTAATCATGCCGATTTCTGGTTGATTAGTGGTGTAGGTTTGTTGCTTTTTATGTGAAGACAACACGCCTTTCAACCCACTGGGCAGGTTTTGGAGTTCAGACTGTTGAGATCTTTAAACTGTGGTTTCTTGGTAACCTAACACCAATAAACCATCCACGGCTGAATCTGAGGGCTTGAACCCAACAAAGAAGAGAACCAACAATTAACTAATTGCCAATGAAACTCCTCCATCACCACATGCTCGGTCTGACGTTTAGTTTATTATCCGTCATCAAAGCTGCCGTCGGCGTCTGAACCGGCCGACTGGACTTCAAACCAAAGGAACGCTGCAGATGAAGAGGTTAACTGAATAAAGCCCGTCTTTAGTGGTTAATTGCGGCAGCGGCGGAGGGTTTGGGGCTCGACTCTGCTCCGTCTGGCACCAGCGGAGGTTTGTATGGAAAACAGCTGCTCCCAAATGAAGTTCATTAAAAGCGAAGTTACAGCCATTTATTCTCACGCTGATCCCTCCCTCTCGCTCCGCCGAGGGTTTGTGGGTTCTTCTGGTTCTGCAAGTGTTTCCCACAGATCAGATCACAGTTTGGATTGGGTCCACTCGGATGTTTCTTGAAGGGGTTAGTGTGGTTAGTTAATGGTTAGTTAATGGTTAGTTTGGTCGGCTCGGGGCTGAGTGAGTTATTATCTGTTAGAGGATGCGATGAAATGAAGCGCTGACAGGTTCTGCTGTTAATAAAGTCTGATTAACGGACTGAACCGTGAAGTGGATTATTAATGTGGCTGGATTATTGATTTTGAACGTTATCAGCCTTTAGAGAGAAACTACTCCTCCCCCGTTAGCAATGCTCTCATGTGTCTTTATCTTTTTAATTATCTCAGATATTGAGATTTTCTTAAGCTGTTTCTTATTAAACAGAATTTATCAGAGCTGAGGGGAATGTTGGCCGTGTACTTAACTGACTGTAACAAGAGCGCCGTGCTTTTAATTTAGTTCTACATACAGGACTGCAAAGTTTTATTTGTGCCTGTGATGCTCTGAACCCCAAAACCTGCCAGTGGGTTCGACAGACATGAAATCTGATAAAAAATCACCATAATTACACCGTTTATCAGCCAGAAACGGCAAAAACAGAAAAAAAAAGTAGAATCTTCAAGTTTGTGAGCTAATTATCTGTGATGTGCCGTTACATTTCATTAATTTAAATGTAAACTGAAAATCTGATTTTTTTTAAAAACAAAAAAAAACTTAAATTTAAAGTCGTCAAAAGTAAACCAGATTCTGTTAAAAACTGAAATATCTGGATTCCTTCATGCAGCTGTGAAGTCGTTATAACTCAGCTGAGACCAACAGGCGCATGACAAAAAAGTTTTCAGCTGAACTGCAGGCGATGTATAAACAGAGCAGAGAGGAGACATATTTAAACTAATTAGAATATTACAATATCTGTTGAGCCTTCATTATTTCCTAGTTCTGGTAACACCTGAAGAAGTTTTGAAAATGTTGAATACGTTAATTTTTTTCTTCATTTTTTAAACAAAACAAACAATTAGAGAATCGTAGCTTTTGTTTTTTTCATTGATTTCTGTCATTCTGACTGTATGAAACTGCACAGAAGACATTCCTTCATTCTGTTTCCATAGAGGTGCAGGACTTTATGTCGCTGTTAAAAATGAACCACAGTGAAGAAAAATGTGACAGGAAGAAAAAAAATGTGAGGATTCCCTATTAACAGATTGATCTTAAAATTAATATTGAACTAATAATCCTCCCAGTGAGTCTCTGAGCAGAAGGTTTGAGCCTTTAGTTTAATTAATTTTATTTGCATTTATAGTTTTTTTCATGTTTAATCCTGTCAGTCATTATTTTAAAAAGTTCCTTCTGAGTTTATGCTGCAAGAATAAACCAAGTTAACTTCCACAGGTAAACATCTGGCTTTGCTTTAAACAATGCATTATAATCAACATTGCAATAGGAACTTTGTGCAAAAGCATCCTAAATGTGCATTTTCTGATCCAGTGACCGTTAAAACTGCAGCTACTCTGTTGAGGTTTTCCCCCAAACTGTCAAATATTGCTCAAAACCTGCAGCACTTTTAACACTGAGCAAATTAATAGGCATCAATCTCTGCAGCGTTTTCTTCAAATAATAAATAACAGAGTCCTCACCCTGGCTCTTCTGGATTTCAAATGGTCAGTGAAGTATCCACTGAGCTGCCGGCCGGGCAGAGCTGCAGGTATCAGCTGAGAGTCCTCGGACCTCCTGGCCGAAGCTGCCGCCAGCCAGGGCAGCAGCACGCAGGTGAGCAGGAGCGTCTTCATGCCGTCCGGAGCAGAGTGTGGGTCAGCAGCTGCTCTACAAACCCCTGGCTGGATGTGTCCAATGACTGTATTTAAAGGCTGAACCAGTAGCTTCCAGCAGACTCTTAAAGCCGAGTTTATAGAGCAGCGAGCGCTTAACCCTTTCCTGACCGCCCACCGTCCCTCCGCTCTGGGAGACAGGCGCACATATGGAAAAGTCCAGGGGAGAAGAAAGTGTCCATTTTTCTCCCTAAGTGTCCCTTAAATGTGCACGGGAAGGAAAAAAAACATGCACGCACAAAGAACTGCAGAGAAAGCAGAAAAAGTGAAAGTTGACAAGCGAAGTGTGAGTGTGTTTTGTCTGGAGGAATGTCTGTGGTCGCCGCCCGGCCGCTCGGTAATGACTTATAATAACCGGCCGATCTTTCATTAGGCTGGGTCGGTGTTTTCCTTCTGCTCTCGCTCTGTTTTTCTCTGGGCTGCTGGTCGGACAATTCATTTAGCAGCCATTAGACAGACACTGATTATAGGCTGCCTGACTCTGGACTGACCAGCAGTCAGTGGTGCTGGACGCCTCCTCTGACCCGCTGATGGTTCAGGACGGAGCTGATGCTGCTCAGAGCCTCCATCTGCTTCACTTTATGGAGCTCGTTAGGAAACGGCAATAGATTCTCTGCTAATACGAAGGCAGGGACATTCAATTAAACATGCATGTGCTGCCATACAGACAAGACTGAGCACTTCTGGATGTGTTTTCTTTGATTTGACAGTTTAGTAGCTGTAACCTTTGAACTGTGAGCAGTTTCTGGGCATTTTCTTGCTCCTGTCACTTTTTTTCCTCACTGTGGCTCATTTTTTACTCTAATATAAAGTCCTGCACCTCTATGGAAACAGAACAACCATGACTAGAAGGAGAGAGAACTCAGAGATGTCTTCTGTGCAGAATGACAAAATTAGAAGGACGTAAATTAGAGAAAAAAACCTGTAATCTGTACGTGTTGCATTACTAGACTCCACATACTACAGATATTTACCTATTTCCATGTTAAATCTGCTTCCAGACCTCTCTGCTCTGTGGAAACATCGCCTGCAGCTCAGCCCAAGTTGGTCTGATGACTTCACAGTGGTGTCAGATAGCTCAGGATTTTTCATTTGTTCACAGAATCTGGTTTAGTTTTGGCAAATTTTCAAATGAGACATGTGGAATAAAGTGATTTTAATGAAATATCACGATTTTAGCTTAGTTTCGGTTCATTTTTCTAACGTTTGATGAGTTCAAGGACCGTTAGGAAGCTGAAAAATCCAAAGTTTCGTTCTGTTTTCACGGTTTCTGGCTCTGATAAATACTGCACTTTAGATGATTTAGAGAAACCCCCCGATTGATTTGAGCTGCATAACATGCTTCGAATTTTTTGTTCAGTCTTCGTACTTTATTGTATCATATCTCAGAACTAACGTGTTTAGTCAGAGGTGTACGAGATTTCAGGCACTACTCAGTTGTACCAAGAACTTCAGAACGTTTTTGTTTTTTTTTACAGATTGTGGTTCAAGAAATTTGTATGTTTTTGGCAAATTTTTAAGTGAGTCACGTAGAATAAAGAGATTTTGATGATTAGAATTTAAATATTTCCTGACAGACAGAAAAAAAAGTTTAAAATCCAAAGAATTTCCCTTTTCTTACACTTTGTAGCTCAGATAAATGATTTAATGTTGATGATTCTTTAAAGTTTCTCGTTTTCTTGTCTTTCAATCCCGCCGGCGGGTTCTGGGCTCAGAGGGTTAACACTGTGTGTCGATGCTGATGTGTCGTGCAGCTCCACTTCACATCTTTTCATGAAGCTTAGTTTTAAAGCAGCGTCCGTTTGAATGGAAGCAGTTTCTGAGAATCTGAACAAAGCGAGGACTCGTGACTCTGAGAGACTGGACCGGGAGAATCCCTCCAGCAGCAGCTTTTGGGTCTCTTATTGCTTCCTTCCTGGCGTCGAGGTGTCTTGAATGAAAATGTTGTTCAAAACTTCACTCCTCTTTGAACATTTCAGTCTGACTCTGAGCTCTGCCTTGTGATGCGTAAAGTTAATAAATGTGATGAAAATGTTAAATCTGGTTGTGTTTATCATCATCTTGTTACACTTGACGGTGACACAAACCTTCAGTTTTCCTTACGGGGGTAAATATATTGGAGGTAAATGGGAACTGACTGGTGTCCACGCAGTCTCGTACGATGCCAGGTGTGAAATGACATCATGTGTCGTGAGATTCCTCATCTGCATAGCTTTTAGCCACATTCAGGTCTAAAGGTCGAGGGCCTCTGTGGTTTTGGTGAACACCTGCTTTTCTTTAAAAAGCCTTCAGGCAAAACAGATTTAATTTTCCATGATGTGGCACGACACTGGATATTTACTGAAAGAAAAGGTGTCTGTAAATAGTTAAGTGTGCGCTCTGCTTTACATGAACTTCAACCAAATGACCAACATCAGACACTGGCAGAGAGAGCTGCAAGGACAAAGCAATACGTTGTCAACTGGTAAACTCATGACAAGAAAGAAAAACATTCACAAAGACACGAAACATCTACAGAGATGAGATAAACAACTACACAACAGTCACGCAACATGACAACGATGATTCAGAGAAACTACAGAGCTGCAAAACTGTGACAAAGATACAAAAGAAAGATGCTGAAAGATGCAAAATGACCAGAAAACGATGCAAAGTGACCAGAAAGTGTTGCAAAGTGTCCAGAAAGTGGTGTAAAATGACCAAAAAGTAACACAAAATGACCAGACAATGATGCAAAATAACCAGAAAATGGTGCACAATGACCCTAAAATGATAGAAAGAGGAATAAAAATCATCAGAAAGTGATGCAAGGTGACCAGAAAGGTGTTCAAAAATCACTAGAAAGTGGTGCATGATGACCAAAAAGTAAACCAAAATAACCAGAAAGTCTTGCATAATGACCACAAAGACACCAGAGCTGAAGGGTTTATTAATGAGCTGTCAACTGTTCAATTATTCATCAGCTATTGTGGGAATTAATTAAATGCTTTGAGTAGTTTTTGTCATAAAAACTGTAAATTCTGTGATTTTAGCATTTTAAATGTGAGTAGGTTCTGGTTTCTTTCCTCCTCTGTGACATTAAACTGAAACTCTGACATTTTTCATCATTTCCTGACATTTTAGAGACCAAATAAACTAATTGCCTAATTGAGAAAATAAAAGACTAATTAACTAGTCGCTAGTTGCAGCCCTACTGTCAGAGAAAAGCAGCCGAGATAACAACTGGAGCAAAGTTCGAGGCCCGCCACAATAAAAGCGTCGACTGGCTCAGTTTCAACCTCAGAGTGAGTTCCTGCCCAAAGCGAAGGAGTTCAAGTATGTGAAGGTCATATAAATTAACTACCTATTAAAAACACTGGTTTGCCAGCCAATAAAACTTCAGACGAAATGTGAAACGTTCGAGTTACTTTGAGCGACTGATTTAAGGATCTCTGCCCTTTTAAAGGTATTTTCTAGCCACATCTGAGCTGTTCATCTCTTTACTCGGTGCGACTCGACGTTTTAAACTCATCCACAAGTTGTCCTGAATGATTTAACGTTGGTTAAAAGGAGAACGAGATCAAAATGACCTCAAAATATGACTTGAAATTTGTCTAAAAAGACTCCAAGTTTGATAAAAAAAAAAACAGATATACAAATCGAAAATGAGTTAAATAGTAAAAATAAAATAAAATCTGTAACCGACAGATGTCAACAATAATAAAGTTGAATTTCTTTGATTATTTAATTTTTTAAAAATCTGAAAAAATCTGAAATCAACTTGTACAACACAGGACTTAATTCTGATTTTTTTGTGAAATCCGATTTTTTGTGAGTTCGTTCACATTTCCAGTTAAATGCGACTTGTATATGATCTGCTGTGTGAACTTCATACGACCCAAAAGTGTCCTACATGCACAGAAGAGGACACGACGAAGTCACACGCAGCGAGCGCGCTCAGTGTTTATGGAAGTTAACATGGATGGTAACGGTGGAGCGTATCTGCCACTCCCCCGCCGCCACCGATGGAGGAAACAGAAGTGTGAGCGCTAACTAAACTAGCATCAGCAGCCAAGTACTGCCTGTGTGTTCTGGACACTTCCACCCCGTGGCTGGAAAGTACACAATCGCACCGGTCAGTTAGGCTGAAATCCAGCGATGCGTAGTGTTCTAACAACACACTAGTTATTATAACAACTATGAATAATAAATATTAACAACAAATGAGCCTTCCAGCATCAAGCCCTCCTTGTATCTCGACCTCCGTCTTGACAATCCGACAGCCTTGCTATCCGACATAAAAGAAGGTTTTACATTTAGTGTCAGATTATCGATTCACAACTGTATTTACATTAAAATTGGCCTCTGTACTCGTCTCTGCTCTTTGTAAACACAACCTGCAGTTCAGCTGAACAGTCCCCATGTTTTGCCATGTGAGTGTTGGTCATTGTTTTTTACAAAATCTGCTTCGAGCAAAGGGTTCATTTTTTAATCAAATTTCTATATGAGCTCGTAGAACGAAGTGATTTTACGTTTTCTGATGGAACGTAAAGACGGGTTGTTCAGAAACTGTCTAAAATCTGAATGCTCTTTCTGTTTTTACAGTTCTGGCCCTAAAAATGTTGTAGTTTTGACAGCTCTATATATATATTTTTGAAGACAAAATGCCCTTTTAACCCCCCAGGAGGGTTTTGTAGTTCTTAGGTTTAAGCACATACTGGGAAATATTTCTATTCTAAAGAATCAAAAACTGACTTTTTGGGTTGTTCTTGAATTCAGTGTTTCATGCGTTGTGTGTCGACTGGCTAATGATGTCGTACACCGTTTGCATGCAAGATGGATTTACAGAATCTGGTTATTTTCTTTCTGCAAAATGTTAAATAAGACAAGTAAAGTAACATGATTTTGTTGATTTTAAGCTTTAAATCTGGATCATTTTTAAGCTCACAGAGTGTATCATAGATTAGTAGTTCAGAAACCATCCAACACATCGTTCTATTTTTACACTTTCTTGCTATACGTGGTGTCATTTTGGTGATTTCTAAGTAGAACAACGAGCCTTTCAAACCCGTCGGCGGTTTTCGAGGTTTGGAGGGTTAATGTGCATCAGACCTCAACAGTCTCTCTTGTCAAAAGAGTAATGAAGTGCTGTATAGGCAATCAATAACACGCCCA